CCTACCCACTTCTTCACATGGTGGCTTTTCCTCATAATTTAGATCCCAGTTCAAGTGTCACTCTCAGGGAGGTCTCCTGTCAATTCATCCTAACACAACAGCTCCACTCCCATCTGGGTCGTCAACGGAACCACCATGAAGTCAGCACTTTAAAAGGCCTTCTCCATGCCCAGCTGGGGTCTGGCATCAGCCAAGGCCACAGTGTCATATGGATGGTGTATCCTTAGCCCAGACCAGGATCCTCATGGATCCCCAACCCCATTTCAGGGCCTTTATCTAACCCTCTCTTTCCCTCCCAGGGCCAACCAGATGCCCCAAAGGACACCCACACTTGTATCTATGAGGTTATCCAAGGGCTTCATGAGAGACCAGGGAGCCAGGATGGTGCTGCCACATTGACTTGGAGTGACTCACAGTGTCCCCAGACACAGGTCCCACATCTCCTGGGAATGACTCTGCTCCCTCACAGCATTCACACTCTCAGAAAGTACACAGTACCTCTGTTTGTTTTTTCCTTTACTTTCTGAGTGCTGCCCCCTCCATGGGTAGAAGTAAGTAGTAAGCCCTGTGCAGAGTGACCTTAGCGGTCTCCCACCCCATTGGATGGATGGTCAATGTTCAAGTAGTTCCTGCCATAGACGGTATTCAGTGTCTGTCAAGCAGATAAATGAATGACTGCCCGAGATGATGCAGTTACTTACAGACCTAGCTCTTCCTCTAGAATGGAAGCTCTCCAGACAATGGACTCTGCCTTCCTCGCCTTGGTCCTCAGACTGGCATAGTGCCTGCCCTAAGAGAAGGCATGAAATCTGGATTTGTTTAATGTGGAAATAAGTGAATAACCAGGGGAGTAAGTGAATGAATATATACCATCTAGACTCAAGGTTCTTCCCCTTGTCTCCATGATTCGAATGTCAAGACAAGGTTGAGGACCTCTTGTTCTTAAAAGTTCTTGGGGAGCTTTTAAAAACTGCAGTGCCCAGGACCAATGAAACCAGAATCTCTGGGATGGCTTCCAAGCATGAGTCTACTTCAAGGTCTCCGGGCAATTCCAGCATGCAGCTACAGTGCGGCATAGGCTGACCAGTACTGGCAGGTCTCCAAGGATGTGTAAATTTCAGTGCTAACAGCCTGACTCCTGGGCAGCTGGGATGGTTGGTCACCCAAGTTGAGAACCTCGGATCCAGACTGTCACCAGGATCTCTTTGGAGTGATGTATTTTCAATTTTTGAAAAGTCAAGACTCATTGGCTTTGTGATTTCCCTTGACACTTACGTGATTACATTCAGGTAGCTCACATTGACCCCAAGAGCTGCTTCCTCCTGTGTTCTTGTTCAGACTTGTGCTGCTACCATTGACGGGGTGACATACAAATTTGTGTCATACAAATGGAAAGGGAATGATTAGACCATTACAGCAGGTCCACAAGGACCAAGGGAGCAAAGGATTAAGTGCTACCTTTCCAGATGCATCCGCAGTAAGCCTGCCATTTCTTTCCTCCCAAGTACACTTTTTTTTTTTAATTTTATTTTTTATAAACATATATTTTTTTCCCCAGGGGTACAGGTCTGTGAATCTCCAGGTTTACACACTTCACAGCACTCACCATAGCACATACCCTACCCAATGTCCATAATCCCACCCCCCCTCTCCCAACCCCCCTCCCCCCAGCACCCCTCAGTTTGTTTTGTGAGATTAAGAGTCACTTATGGTTTGTCTCCCTCCCAATCCCAACTTGTTTCATTTACTCTTCTCCTACCCCATTAACCCCCCATGTTGCATCTCCTCTCCCTCATATCAGGGAGATCATATGATAGTTGTCTTTCTCTGATTGACTTATTTCGCTAAGCATGATACCCTCTAGTTCCATCCACGTCGTCGCAAATGGCAAGATTTCATTTCTTTTGATGGCTGCATAGTATTCCATTGTGTATATATACCACATCTTCTTTATCCATTCGTCTGTTGATGGACATCTAGGTTCTTTCCATAGTTTGGCTATTGTAGACATTGCTGCTATAAACATTCGGGTGCACGTGCCCCCTTCGGATCACTACGTTTGTATCTTTAGGGTAAATACCCAGTAGTGCAATTGCTGGGTCATAGGGTAGTTCTATTTTCAACATTTTGAGGAACCTCCATGCTGTTTTCCAGAGTGGTTGCACCAGCTTGCATTCCCACCAACAGTGTAGGAGGGTTCCCCTTTCTCCGCATCCTCGCCAGCATCTGTCATTTCCTGACTTGTTAATTTTAGCCATTCTGACTGGTGTGAGGTGGTATCTCATTGTGGTTTTGATTTGTATTTCCCTGATGCCGAGTGATATGGAGCACTTTTTCATGTGTCTGTTGGCCATCTGGATGTCTTCTTTGCAGAAATGTCTGTTCATGTCTTCTGCCCATTTCTTGATTGGATTATTTGTTCTTTGGGTGTTGAGTTTGCTAAGTTCTTTATAGATTCTGGACACTAGCCCTTTATCGGATATGTCGTTTGCAAATATCTTCTCCCATTCTGTCAGTTGTCTTTTGGTTTTGTTGACTGTTTCCTTTGCTGTGCAAAAGCTTTTGATCTTGATGAAATCCCAATAGTTCATTTTTGCCCTTGCTTCCCTTGCCTTTGGCGATGTTCCTAGGAAGATGTTGTGACGGTACACTTCGACACGTTTCTACTTATCACTTGTTTCCACCAGTTACTCTGGGTGTTAGTTTGCAGTTTCTGATGTTATCACCTGAGGTGATAAATAATTTTTAATTGAAAAATCCCTGTGGAAACTGAATTAATGCTCATCATCCCAAACATTAATTTACTACAAGTATGTGGTTTATACTGAACCCATTCATGTGTAGACACCAGAATCAAAACACCCTTTACCCTGGGAAGAGTAAGTGGCCCACCAGGCTCTAGGGCCTTTGTTATTCAAATGAAGGTCTCTGGATCCTCCTTTTACCAGCACCGCCTGGGAGACCAGAAATGCAGAGACTTGGGTCCCACGGGGACCCACTAAATCTGATGCTCAGGAGGTAGGGCCCATCTCTCTAGGTTATCCCTTGCTCAAATTTGAGACGTGCTGTCTAGAGAACATTTTGCTCACCTGATTCTTAACTTCACTATCTCAGAATGAAGAGGAGGGAAGAGGTGAGGGGAGGCAGCAGACAGAATCACACAGCGCACTGCTTCCCAAGCTCAGGGGCACGTTGAAAATGCCTGGAGATGTTTCAAACTATCAGAACCTGGCTCCCAGCCCAAGCAAGGGGATGTGGTTGTTTTGGGGGTGCATCCTGGGCATAGGGATGTTTTAAAACATCCCCCATGATTCTAATGGGCAGCAGACTTTGAGAACCCCTGTTTCCTCACCAGCAACCCTATCTGCAGCTCATTGCTTCGAGCCTCCACTGCTGAAGAATCCAGAAAAATGGGCCATACTAACATTTGCTAGCCCTCCTTCCCTCATCAGAATCACCAGAAGTAAAACAAAGGAAAACTCACTGGGGCCCAATCTCACCTCTGGCATGATAAGTGCTTTTTCTGTTCACCTTCTGTTAGTAGCTATTTGCTTTTTAACCTCTCTGAACCTCAGTATCTTCATCTGTCAAACAGAGACAAGAAGACCCTTTTCCCAGGATTATTTGGGACATTACCTACAATAGTATGTGCCAAGTGCCTAATATGTTGTCTAGCACGTAGCGGATGTCCAAAACCTCTGAGGCAAGAGTGCGGTCTCTGAACCCTGCGGCCCTGCTAGTGGGACCACTAGCAGCATGAGGTCAGACACATATTTAGGGAAGGGTCCTGGTCAGGGTACCAAGGCTGTTAACTGCAAAAACCCTGCTCACATATGAATTCACATATATGATCTCATTCCAGTCTCCCATCCCAGCCAGTAAGTAGGATCATTCTTATTATTCCCATTTCACAAGGTGATAGAATAGTGGTACAGAGAGGACCAAAGTCACACAGCTGTAAAATGGCAGACTCCGGTCTGCTGACTGTAGCCCAGGGTTCTCCCACCTGCTGTTCTCAGCCTCACACCCAGCCGCTTGGCAGCTGCATTGATCCAGACCAGCCCTGTTCCAGCAGAACTTTCGGGGATGGTGGAGCTATTTTGAATCTGCACTCTCCAATCCAAAGACCACCAGCCACATCTGGCTCCTGAGCATTTGAAAAGTGGCTAGTGTGACTGAAGCATTAAAAGTTTTGTTTTAATTTTAATGAACTTAGATGTAAATAGCCACTGGTGGACTGCACCCATCTAGCCACGGAGTCTGGAGAATAATGGGAAACTGAAGGTTTATTTCAGTGGCTTCTACCCACCAATCAAAGAAAACCTAAGCCACTTGTTTGCCTTTCTCTTAAAAGATTTTCACTTTATTTCAGTAGAGTGGCAAAGTTGGCCCATTCGTTGTAGCCCTGTGCAACATACAATCAGAATAATGCTTCATTCACACCAGCGATCAGCCACCAAAAGAGACACAAGTTACAGAGCACTGCTTCCCAAACCTGAATGTGTGCATGAGTCATCTGAGACCTTGTTAAAATATAGGTTCTCATTTAAGAGACCTAGGGTGGGACCTGAGGGTCTGCATTTCTAGCAGGTGCCCGGGTGCTGCTGCTTCGGCTCCATGGGCCACACGCAGACTAGCAAGGGTGTTGAGCAGTGGTCTTCAGTGAGCTGATTTTGTCTCTTTCCTGCCACCCGGAGGCATCTGGCAATGTCTGGAGACATTCTGGATTGTCATGACTGGGGTGCAGGTGTCATGGGCATCTACTGGGTTGGATGCAGAGATGCTGCTCAATTACCTACCATGTGCAGGACAGTCCCCACCAGAAAGAATCCGCTGCCCCGAAATGCCCATAGTGCCCCATATGACAACCCTGTTGTCCAGCCGAGTCTACTGTTCCGGAAGAGGGCGGTTGATGAGAGAGTCGTGGAGCAGGTCTTCTTGGTATGATAACTGATCATTGCTTTCTCTCTCCCACTCTTTTCTCTTCCTTGTCTGCACAGGAGCAAATGCCTCGGCCCCCGACCAGCTGAGCTTAGCTCTAGCCTGGAACAGAGTGGACATCGCTCGCAGCCAGATCTTTATTTATGGGCAGCAGTGGCCGGTAGAGTATATGTCACCACCCCTGCAAAGCCCACTTGCTTGGGCAACGGTATTTGCTTAGGAGCCGCTCAGAGAAACTGCAGCCTGTTCTCTAGGATGCAAATGTTCCCTCCCTCGCGGCCATCCTCAGGCTCCGCCCCTTTCTCATATTTAGGAAAACACTGCCACCTGGTGGACGACGCGACAAAGCACAGCTGCAAACATTCCAGACAGTTCCCATCTCGGTGCGGGGTGGGGGGACTCTGATGGCAACCTTCAGCTGCAAATAATGCCATTTCTTCCATTCATCCGAGAAAACATATAAGGCCAAAACGTGTTCATTAAAATGACAGAAGGCATGGAACTAGCAGTTGGTTTCTTGTTGTCTCTGAGGTGCTGCTCCGGAGCGGCGGCGCCCCATGTTACAGTGTATGGCTCGGTCACACCTCCGGACGCAGGATTAGCAAGCTCCCCCGTGCAGGTGCCATCTGGTCCTGGTGGCTGAGCACAGGTCCTCCCTATTCCCGAGCACCACTCAGAGGCAACCAAAGCTTTATGTAACTGTTCTTGGTTCGTTTCCCTCAACGGACACTACCAAAAATAAAAACTTGGAAAATTGGCTATTGGGTGGTTGGTGTCTGGATCCCGAGGAGGCAGCCAGCAGTCTGAGATTTGACTTTAATGCTGGAATAACTGAACGGCAATACCCCCCACGGATGGGTCTTCTTTAACCCTGTCTTGCCCCCAGAGAGCTGCTGCCTGGCGGTGAAGCCCCTGTCTTTATTTAGTGCCACTAGTGGATTGCTAGCGTGGTAAGATTTGTCAAGGAGTCTGGACACCAGGAGGTTTTTGTGAAATTATTGAATAAAACCCTGGTAGACAGACTCAAGGACCTGAATAGTTGCTAAGTCTCTGCACGGAAATGAGTGAGACAGAAGCAAGGTAGTCTAACAGTTAAAATAAAGAAAGGCCTACGTTCTGATCTGTTCGCTAGGGTCCCTCTTTTCAAGGTAGCCGGGGGTCTAATTCAGAGCCTCAGGAAGATGAAAATGAGGACAGCAAAGCAGCCACTTTGGTGCTTCACTAGCATTACAGGAAGTTTGTTCAGAGAATACACGGGAAATTCTTGTATATCATGTGTCTTCTCGGGACCCAGAAGAGAAAAAGAGTCAGAGAGGAAATAGCTTTGGAACTAGAAAAGTTTGAATTCTGTTTGCAAAGACAGATCCCAAAACACAAGAGAGATTATGGCTGTGCCAAAAGTGGAGTTGGGAACAGTCTTGTTCACATGTTCTTGGATGTGCTGAAGGTTTACCAGATGTCAAAGGCATCCATTCTAAACTGTTCAGGTGAACACCAAGGAACTGCATCCCTAGAGCCTGGGGCAGACTAACTCAGTGACTTGATTTGCAGGTGGGGTCTTTGGAGCAAGCCATGTTGGATGCCCTAGTTCTGGACAGAGTGGATTTTGTGAAATTACTCATAGAGAATGGAGTAAGCATGCACCGTTTTCTCACCATCTCCAGACTAGAGGAATTGTACAATACGGTAGGGCCAAGCTAAGGCACTTTTTATTTTCTCTGTGTTTTTTCGTTTTGCCTTCTCCTGCCCCACACATGCCTGTGAGTCTCTTCCCTCCCTTCCAAATGCATGGATCATTTTTCAAAGATGCTCCCTTAGACCTGTAGACAACAACGCCAAGCCACTAAGATTCCGCTTGTTTTAACTGCTCAGTTGTCAGCATCTAAAGCAGAAAGTTATGGGATCACACCAAAAGCTAACGTTCTCAGATTCTTACACAAACCCAACAAGGCTCTGAAAATTAGAATCCAGTTTATGCTGTAAGCCCAGAAGGCATTTGAGGCAATCAGCAGAGGACAATTGATTTAACTCAAAGCATCAAAGGAGACTGATCAACTATCCCACACCATCTTGTTATCCTCAGAGCTATGACATTCATTCCCTTTCCTCTATAGTGGAATAAACTGTAAAATACCCCTTGTTTGGAGTTACCACAAAATATTATTTGTATTATTTTGTAATAATTTGCTACTTCATTTACTAGGAATACCAAGGAGTGATCATAAAGAAAAACTACTATTTAGGAAGTTGTTTGTAGTATTCAGTGAGCTAAGTACTTTGGCTCTGAGCTGATAGGCACTAAAATCCAAAGAAGTTTAAACAGCAGATGTTGGAAACTTCAAGAGGGTACAGGACGCTTGGAGAGTACAATTCAAGAAGGTTAAGAAAAACTTTCTTCCCGAAGGTTCTGGACCTGCCTGAATACCTTTTGCTGCTTGTTCTTTTGCCATAAAGGCAAATCCCTTTGGATCTCCAGTAGACTATAATGTGGTTTATACTTATATAAACAACATTACTACATTTCCCATATACTCTTTCAATCCAGCCTTGATTAATATTTTGGGGAAGTAATTCCTATGATACATTAGAAGCAATATTAAATATGTAAGAATTCTTGATCAAGGTTGATAAACTTTTACTTGGAATATTAAAAGAAAGAGAGGTATTGTTTTCCTCCATTTTATAGATAAGAAAACTGAGGCTAAGAAGTAAATTGGTTTATTTAAGGTCACAAAACTCCTAAGAAAGAAGAAAGCTAGTACTGAACCAATACTTCTGTCTTAGAGGTTATTCTTCCCCTCGTTTATCAGTGCTTCCCTGTCCCACCACCCACAGCTCTAATGAGATGGAGCTTGTTGACCTCTCCCCAGCCAGCAGAGGGTGTTAGGTGATACTACTGCACTGGTTCTATCTCCTTGCTGCTGGAACTAGAAAACAGTTTGTCAGAGCGGATCCAGGTTTCTGTTTTCTCTGCAGATTTTTCTTGGTTCTGCATAGTGAGACTTTCAGTAAGAATAATAGACTGAAATGATAGCATAGGAAATCTCAGTTCCTGTCCCCACCAAAACATTGATAATGAGCCATGGAGAAGTGGATAAATTCCTAGAAACATGCAACTGATCAAATCTGAATCATGAAGAAACAGAAAAATTTGAACAGACCAATAATAAGTAAGGAGATGGAATCAGTAATCAAAAATTTCCTGACAAAGAAAAGCCTAGGAGTAGGTGGCTTCACAGGTGAATTCTACCAAATATTTAAAGAATTAACCCCAATTCTTGTCCAATTTTTCAAAAAACTTGAAGAGGAGGCAACACTCCCAAACTTATTTTAGGAGGCCAGCAATATACTGACACTAAAACAAGATAAGGACACTACAAGAAAATAAAACTATAGGCCAATATCCCTGATGAACATAGGTCCAAAAATTCTCAACAAAATACTAGCAATTGAAATTCACCAGCACTTAAAAAGATCATGCACCATGACCAAATGGGATTCCATCCCTAAATGCAAGGATGGTTCAATATATGCAAATCAATAAATGCACATCACATTAATAGAATGAAAGACAAAACTCATATCATCTCAATAGAGAGGCAGGCCAAAAGGCACCCAGTTTGGAAAGGAAGAAGTAAAATTGTCTTTGCTGATAACATGGTTTTGTATACAGAAAATCCTAAAGACTTGACCAAAAAAACAAAAACAAAAACAAAAAACAAACAAAACAAAAACCAAAAACAAAACTGTTAAAACTAATAAAAGAACCCAGTAGAGTTTAACGATACAAAATCAACATACAAAAAAGCAGTTGCATGTCTATACACTAACAATGAACAATCTGAAAAGAGAATAAGACAGTCCTATTTACAAGAGCATCTAAAGCTATAAAATACTTAGAGATAATTTTCACCAAGAAGTAAGAGATCTCTAAAGCAAAAACTGTAAGACATTGATTAAAGAAATTGAAGAAGACACAAATAAATGCAAAGATATCCCATGTTCATGGATTCCAAGTGTTAATAATGTTAAATTGTCCATATCACAGAGTCAAAAGCCAAGCAATAAACACATGCATATATGGTCAACTAATATTTGAAAAGGGAGCCAGATATAAAAGTGTGTTTTGGAGGAGCCCCAAAATATTTGGGGCTGAAGGGTGGGAAAAATGAGAGATGTTAGCCAAAGGGTATAAACTTTCAACTATAAGACAAATGAATTCCAGGGATCTAATGTACAGCTTGGAGACTATAGTTAACAACACCCCATTGTATTATAATTGAAAGTTGCCATGAGATCAGAGCTTTGATGTTCTCACCATAACAACAACAATGAAATGATAATTGTGTTAGGCAAAGGTGTGTTAACTAACCTTATTGTGATAAATAAATCACATTGTATACCTTCAACTGACACAATGTCTTATTCAATTATATCTCAATAAAGCCAGGGGGAAAAAAAGAATAATGGGGTTTTCAGTAAAATAAATAAAATAGAACACAGGTGGGGATGGAGGCCGGCATTCTGACTCCAGAGTCTGTGTGTTTAATCCCTATATCAGACTGCATTCCTCAGTGGAAGAAGAATTCTGGGAAGTGTGTCGCATGAATGGGCAGGCAGTTGAGGCCATACTCATGAATCGTCTCCATACCTGAATGTGTTCCCGCACTGCTGAAGGATTTGCCATCACTGTTTGAGAGTCTCCAATAGGGTCACCAGATTTTGCAAATAAAAATACAGGATCCCCAGTTAAATTTGAATCCCAGGTAGACAATGAGTAATTTCTAATATGAGGTGTCCCGTGAAATATTTGGGATATACTTATACTAAAACGTATTTCTCATTTATCTGAAATTCAAATTTAACTGGGCATCCTGCATGCCATCTAGCATTCATATTCCCGAAAGACGGCGGGATGGCGAGTCGTTTCACATTAGCCTCTCTCTTCCTGCCAAGAGCCTGTGGCTTTTTCTTTAGAGTTGAGCAAAATGGTACCAAAGAATCAAATCCAGCCCACTGCCTTTTCTTTTTTTTTAAATATGGCCTGCAAGCTAAAAATGGTTTTTTAAACATTTTTAATGATTGAAAAAATCAGTAGAAGAATGATATTTTGTGACATATTAAAATTCTACGAAATTTGATTCTCTTTTGGTGTCCATAAAGATTTATCGATACAGGGGCAGGCTCATTTGTTGACATATTGTCTCTGGCTGCTTTTGCACAGTGGCAGATTCGAACAGTTGCCATGAAAAGTATATGACCTATGGAGTATAAAAGAACAATTCCTTGGCCATTTACAGAATGGCCATTTAGAGAAAACGTTGCCAATGCGTGTTGGACAATTTCTCATTCACGATGGGTAACAAGTTGTGATCGGCCATGTGCCACAGCGTATTTCCAATGCTCTAAATTGGCCCCTTTGTCTCCCCCGCTGACCCCCGCCTCAAAACCGGCCTCTTTAATGATGTTTTGGCCCAGCCATCCACCGAGTTGACAACCTCCTTTACAAAGCTTGAACCTAGACCCTCAAATGCTTTTTCTCGAGGAACCACAATCCAAAAATCTGCCAGCATGTTCATTTAGAAAAGGCAGGTACAACTGAGCAACTACAACAAGGCTCATCTTAAAGAACTGCCCTTCCTCTGGCCAGAACCCTTCCTTTCCAGAACCTTCTTGCCTTACCGACGAGAGCCCATGACCCGCAAATCCATTTGATTCTTCTTTATTGTTTTCAGAGACATGGGCCCTCAAACACATTGTACCACTTGGTCAGGGATGTCAAAAAGGTAAGAACCCTCCTGACTGAAGGTCGGAGGCCTGTCTTGACTGCTTCCTGTGATTAGAAAGCGCCTCTGTTTTGCATGAGCTGCCAGAGCAGTCCTGTCCCCGCGAGCCCCCTCATTTCAGGATGCTGTATGTATGTGTGTGCGTGTGTGTGTGCGTGTGTGTGTGTGCATTGCCTTTTAACGATGACATCTCTGCTTACAATGCAGCTGTGGTTTCACCTCCCGCCTCTGTGGTTTTAGATGCTTTCACTGGACATAATGTTTTCGGAAGGCTGAACGCGTCATGTTTTTGAGAGCTTCGCACCACGCTGGGTGGATTTATGCCACTGTCTGTTTTCTCCCACACGCCCCTTACCGTCTGGGGAGCTAGTTTCCATGTTGTTGGACTAACCGTAGGCGGGATCTTCACGTCCTAGCTCCTGAGGCCTTGCGTCACTGTCCCTTCTAACATTATGCAGAGCACAGGAAACACGGCTCAGAAAGTCTCGAGTATCAGAGACGAAAACACATATGTGCATTCCATTCTTCTAAGACTCAATTTTTTCCGGTAGATTTTTTCACGTTGCCATCTAACTTGGTGGTGTGTGTTGAGGGGCGGGGGAGACAAGCAGACGGGAGGTTTGGATCAAGGAGAATTATTCCCATTTTACAGACATAGAAGGTGTGGTTAGGGAAGAGGTGGAGTTCAAACTCAGATCCTCTGATTAACAATCATTAAAGAGTGCCAGATCTTTAGTGACGACGAGGTGTGTGGCACTGACCTGAGCCTACTGTACATCGCAGCTCGTTTCATTGTTGTGACAATTCTATGGAGTCAAATTGTTATTTGATTATCGTTATTATACAGTATGGTTCCAGTGTATAGATGGGAAGAGTGAGGGGCAGGGAAGCTATGTTTAATCTTAGCCAAGGGCTTGTTGTTTCACTCCCTTTGCTCTCTCTCAGAGGTAACTAACTTCATTCTGAAACCTTGACAGCATTCCCAGACACTGCTCTTCTAACTCCAGAGGACGAAATAGATGGGGGCACTTTTCCCACCCCCTGCACACAGAGGCACCCCACCCACCAGTCCATAGCAATTCTTCACCAAAGCCCACAAGGACCTACTCAGAGAAGGCTACCAAGTAAGGTCAAAACTAGAGTACAATCCCTTCATCTCATACGGAGTCATTGTCTAGAACTTCCCTTAGAAGTTTGTTTCCCTTGAAAGGCCAAGTAAATGTCCTGGGGCTGCTGAGAATGTACCTATTAAGTAGCTAGACCTTTGCTAGAAATGAGTAAAGGGTACCAAAAAACAAACAAAAACCTTCTGCTGGCTCTTAGAGACTTTCCTCTCATCTCCACACAAACTTACTGAAGGTTTTTTCATCTGAGAGAGTGAGTGAAGCCTTCAAAGTGAGAGAAACAGACTCTGCACAATCTCTACCCCCAGTCCAACCAGGTGGTCTTTACCAAGACCACATCTTTCCCTGATTTGCCCCCATTTCAAGCCAGAAGCACATCTGCCCCCAACAGAGCCATTTCTCTTATCCTCAAGCCTTCCAATTTTGTGTGATTTATTCTGGCTTAAAATTGCCTGCAAACTAAATAGGGGGAAGGATCTCGAAAGATTAAGTATACACATCTAACGCATATTCTCTGCCAAGATATTTGTTGCTCGTGTGCCACAAAACGTCCTGAGGGTTTTTAAATAGTAAATAAGGTATCATCCCCTCCCCCATCACCTAGAGCGAGTCTGGGTCACTGCAGAAATTGTGAGACTTTCCGAAGAGACAGCTATGCCTTTGTCCCTCAACCTCAGCCATAGGCCAATTCGAGCCTTCACATAAAGTCACTGATTCACCTCCCTCACCCCGCCCCAGTTTCTCAATATTTTGCCGGATTTTCTAAGGGATTTTTGCAGTTAGGTTTCATTGAGTACAAATGATCAAAATCCCTCCTGTTAGGTTCTCTTCCTTGCAGGGCTCTGCTTTGCAACACCATTTCCTCCCTTCTGAAATCCCACTCACTGCCTCTTACAGTTGCTCACGTCACTGGCATTAGAAGGCATGTATTTTTAAGGTAGCATTTTTTTTTTAAACTTCTCAGCTAAAGATGTACTTCAGAAGTAATACAAACTAACAAGAGAGAATGGGATGTGAGGATTGGGGAGGAAGGAGTATTAGGAGCCGTCTTAGTTTTCTTTCAAGTGTGATCCAAATACTGGAACAAAAATATATAAGGACTCATTTACGTACTGATTCAGTCACTGGAAAAAGTAATTGCAAATGACCCAGGGTAGTTCTGAGCTGGCTTAGGAACCAGTTAAACTTTTACCTGGGAAAAAAGACTGCCAGTCGGGTGGGGAGAAACAGACAGCCTGTGTTTCGTTTCTTCTCTTGGGAAGAGAGAGGGACAGGAAAAGCAGACGAGGTGAGCCCCTGACTTAACGACGAGAAGGGCTAACAGTGGAAGCCAGAGGAGGGGAAGTCTCTATGTTTCGTGTTATATGGATGAAGGGAGCTAAGAATGAGGGGCCTTTGTGTTTTCTTAAGAAGTAAATGAGAGGAGGGTGCCTGGGTGGCTCAGTCAGTTGAGTGTCTGCTTTCAGCCCAGGTCATGATGCCAGAGTCCTGGGATCAAGTCCCGCGTTAGACTCCCTGCTCAGCGGGAAGCCTGTTTCTCCCTCTCCATCTGCCTTTCCCCCCTGCTTATGCTCTCTCTTGCTCTCTCTCAAATAAAAAATAATAATTAAATCTTAAAAGAAAAGAAAGGAAGTAAATGAGAGAAGTTAACATCAATGCGCATCTTCTTCAGATGGTTCCAGATGACGTCCAGCAGTTTAGGCCAATGCGATACGCAGGGTCTACAAAAGCTAGGTTTAAAATGCTAAGAAAATCTTGGGCAGGTTAAGCCATTTTCAAAATTAAGGAAGTTGGTAATTAGCATGTGCTTTGTGCTTTAGGATTGTAGGAGTTTATGTTACTTGTTAATTGATGTGATCTGTGACCAAAAAATATGAAACAATAAGGGATAAGCCCTGGTGTGAAATGCTGCTCCTGTGTTAGGAACATAGTTCTGAACCTTAAACATAGTGTTTGATGGTATGCCTGGAAAATCAAAAGCAAATAACTCTTAGGAACCCAGGGAGTACATTTAGGAATCACCTGATGGTCCCACGTAACAACAGGATATCTCCAAGCCCAGCTCTCCTTTGACTTCAACAGAACAAACTTTGGAGAACTGACTCTCAAATTATTTATATCGAGGGAACAGTCTAGGAGCCAGGAGGTAAAAAGCTGGTTATACAGCATCCATCAGAAATTTTAAATGATAGAAGCTAATGCACTTCCCGGAACTGCTTTTCTGCATAAATCCATCGGACGCAACAAGGCCACATTAATCAGAGCAGCCGGAGTCTGTCTGCTTTACCGCGAAATCTAACTTGCCATTTTTAGAAGCTAACTGTCTGCTCGATTTGTGCCTCTCTGTGTTTTAAAGTACTAGCTTTTCTTTCCTAACTTAAGTGTGCTAATACTTTGGATGACCTGTACTATTATTCCCCACAAAGGGAGGGTGATAGTTGAGTATTTTATAGAGGTAGTTGTGAAATTCTGGTAGTTTAATGTCGTTCACATGGGAATTAAGACCCAGAGCTTTGGCAGAACGAAAGGGTGGGGGAAGCATTTTAGACAGTCTTTGGATAAAGAAAGGACATTTTCATAATCCCATCTGCCGAATTCATGCAGATTTGCAAAAGAATTTTTATTTTTTAAGAGATTGCCTGGTTTGTAACAAAGCTGAACATTGAGGGAATGTCCTCTTTTCCATAAACTTTGGCCAGAATAGACTTTTGAACACCCTTCCTTGGTAAACTCAATGACCAGCAATCACTTTACACCTTTACATACATCAGAAGGAAACAATCTTCTTTTGAATGCTTGTTAGAAGTTTCCACAAAATGTGTTTCCTGAACAGCTGAAATTTGATAGCGATATCACGAGCTGATGTCTGAAAAAGACTTTATTCAGAAGAGCAGATCCATACATGCATTTAAACTCTTAGTTGAAAGTCATCTTTAGGATGGCATGGATTAAAATTTACCTTCAGAGAAGTAGCCCGTGGCACACGAAAAAGGAGCAATGTTCTCCCGTTGTCAGATTTTACCTGCTGATAGAGCCAAGCCTCTCTGTTTCACTCTGTGGATCAAATTGTTTGAGTCACATGGCTTGCCATGTGTTGTTGAGGCATGAAAGGGGACGTAAGTGCTCAGGCATTACCAATTACCAAAGTAATTACCAAAAGAGGAAGGAGGGACAAACAGAAACGACAGAAGAAGCATTTCTTCAGTGTCGTTGTTGGCTTCCTATTTGGAAAGCCTCCAGGAGAAGGAAGACTCTTCCAGAAGGTTTTTGGACATTACCTTTGGTGTCTCTGCTTTTTCCAAAGGAGGTGGATGCGATGAGCTCAACCCCATCTCTTTCTAGTCCTTAACTGTCCTGTCTCTGAGTCCTCAGCTCCACTGACCACACTTCAAGGGTGGTTAATGGGAACTTTGTCAACTCTGCATGCTCTGGACAATAGTCTTTGCCCGGAGCCCAGGCAGCATAGAAATAAGAGCAGCCTGCTAGGTACAGGTCAGAAAAATTGGACCTCTAGAAATAGACATCACCTTTGAAGTCACGCTGCCCAAAGTGCCTATTTGCAGAGTGTAAACTGAGTCACAGAGAAAGGAAGCCATGTGCCCAGGGTCACAGAGAAGCAGAGCTGGACCACAGTCCAGCCCAGTGCTATTTCCACTGCAGGGTGCTACTGCCGGCTGTTCTCTGTGTTTGTGACATCTAGGGTCGCAGGTGCCAAGGCCATCAGCCCAGCGCATCAGACATACCCCAAATGTTCCCATTCCCTTCAGAGTTCATCCAGGACACAGTTATCCAAAGAGGCTAAAATGGTACCCAATTTTATTAATTTTATGAAATCTGTTTCCTCTTCCCCAAAAGGTTTCCATTCTCCCCAGTAAAAATTGTGAAACTAATTTCCCTTAATTTCCTTGCTTTCTAAGACTCTAGGGGGGAGAAAACAGATGCAATCAGTCTTGCAGGCTTTCAGACACATTACCTGGTAAAGTAAGCTGTCTCTCCTCCAGATATCACTTTAACAAGGGCATTTGACTCCTGATTTCCAAGTCCTCCGATCTGCCCTATTCATTTACATCACCTTATTACTCATATAAAACAGAATACGCAGGTAAAATGCTGATAGAACCGCCATTGGGTTCAGGCCTGTGAACATCGCCCCCTTGTGGTCCGTTCCATTAAGGCCTTTGCTCAAAGCTGGGCAGAACCAAGACTGTGCTTCCTTGAATCCCTTCTCTGGCTTGATACCAGATCCCACGTAAATCACTTCAAAATAATCAAGCTTTACATGAGAAGTTCTTACAAAAAAAGATTCCAGCACCTTCCTTAGGTAGTATATAAACCTAAGGGCCCTTTATGAATATAATCATTGGCAAAAATATTTTCTTTGCCCCTCTCAAATTTTGATTATTTTGAATTTTACCATTATCACTTTCCTGGTAACCCCTACTCCTATAGACAATCCCAAAGCATAGTTCTTGACACTCCCTGTCGGTCTTCAGGAAATATTGGTGTCTTGTTCTTAGAATTCAAACTGACGTTCACACATCGGTGTCTCAAAAGAAAATATATAGGTGTTAGGTTCGCTGTTACTCATGTGTTTTAAATTGAGAAAATTCTTACGGGATTAAAAATAGGCATGCATTCATAGACTTGCTATGCCTTCCTTCCGAAAGCATCACACTACATCTCGTAGGTTTGTTTCTGTAACCTGGTACTTGGGCTTTACAGACAATAGAGGCCATCGAGTTCCACCCTTTGTATGGGGAAGAAAACTGAGGCCTTGCAGGAAGCTGGTTGATTTATGAAGGACAGACAGAAAGAAGCCCAGGGCAGTTGATTCCCAGCCACTGTTGTTTCCTCTGCCGGCTGCACAATGCCCAGGAAAATAACACAAATGCAGGATCTCCTCTGCGGGTCATCCTTATAGGAGCCAAATGCAGAAGAGAGGAGGCGGACCCACATGCATCCAGGCTCTTGAGCTCTTCTACTCCTGAAAGAAGAGGCCTGCCTACCCGTCGGGTACAGCCCGTCGAGACAGAAACTCGCAGCCTTGTTCCCCTGCCCCCACACAGTGCAGAAAAGCAGTTGCAGGAGGAATATTTTCAAACTCAGTTTCGTGTTTATAGAAAGGGTGATACATGGACAGTTACCATCTTAAAACTTTCTCTGAATTCCCTTTCCTCTGTTGTTGCCACGCTTGGCATAAAGAGGTCAGGCAGCTGGCCTTTTCTAATAGCCTGTGGGGAGCTTCCCTTGCCAGTGTGGTTAGGCTGATGAGCTGCTCAGAGGAGATGGCGGAATTCTGAGCATGGCAAGGAGGAGAATAAGGCCATTTTTATGACGGGAACTTTTGGGTGGGGTTCTGATGAGCCAAGCTCAAGGATGGGAGGTGTTCTCTGCCTGAAGTCCCCCAAGCCTGCTTTGTGCCCCAAGCCAAGGGAGAGATAGAACCCGACGGTTGGAACTGTGCAGAGGCAGCAAGCCAGTCTAAAGGGTAGCACTAGGCTCTCCTCTGCGGTGGGCTGGGATGACAACTGCTATCCCCTTGTTCCCACTCCACTGAAAATACCCGCAGAGCCATCGGCCTATTTCAAGTCAAATTTCCACAGTGGCGCAGGGCTCTCCCAAACAGGATGACCCAGAGACCGTGGCTAGTTAGTTGCATTACTGACCATAACACAGTACCAAGAAACCTGAAACTGAGACTAGATCCCAACCACATCAATGGGTTGTACTGTTTCACTCATTCTCAACTTCACCACAGAAACCTCCTGAATGCCGACCACACACCAGTCACTACAGAAGGCACCGGGAATACAGAGATCGGTAACACCATCAAAGCTATAGGTTTGGTGGAAGGCTACAGTGGGTCCCCTCTAACCCTGAATGCCCTTCAGATGGGTGCTGTTGGTCATAGCAAAGCTGAGTATGGGTAACAGAAAACCTACCCTCGGTTCTGCAGAAACGGAAGCTGATTTCCTAATGACAGTGATTGTACACCATGAGTTTTCTGATTCTGCCACGTGAGCCCACCTGGCCCACCTTATTTAGCACAAACTTGGGTGTATCTCAGAACCACCCGGAGAGCTAACAAGGCACGGAGAAGCCCATACATTAAAGCCAGGGCTTGGCACTGTCACCAAGTTCACCAGGTGATTCTGATGCCACCAAAGTTGGAGAGCCACCACCGTGGCTATGAGCCACTTCTGTAAGAGGCAGAAACCTCACACGGTATCGGGGTGGATCCTCCATTAAGACAAAAGTAGACAGAGCCCTCCCACCTCTCCACAATATATCTGAGGCTTCCTACGCAGGGCAGGGCTGTACCCTCGTGGTTCGTGGTACAGAGCGCGCTCCTGCCGCAGAAAGCCAAACCAGACAGCGCGTTCCTTACTCGCGCTTTTTGGAACTCGCGGTGCGCTCAGAACTTGCCATAGATGGAACTAACTCTCCCCTGACCTAGCAGAACAGGTATTTTCCTTAGACCCTAGAGACAACCCTTTTGGTGTAGAAACCAGTAACGAGTAGACAATGAATGATAATAAAATCCTTGTGTTTTGCATCTGTGCATACAAGCCCCATAAAACTTAAATGCCATCATTCTTGGTCTTTAAGAAATGCTCTTCTCTTTGAAAGAAAATATCCCAAACCTCCTTAATTCCAGGGAAATAAATATTCCCTCAAAATCTCTTCTCATGCCACCCCCTTTCTCTCTAACCACAAAGGATGCTCCTAACTGACTTCATCCTGACATCCATCCACTCTCCTTTTATGAAAAAGCTGCTCCTTTTTTTTTTTTTTTCCATTGTTCATCGAGGTTTTGCAGAGGAACTCTCAGCATATCCCACCTGATGCAGGCGATGGTAATAACAACCATCTTCTGGAAGGAGTCTTCCTTTAGTGAGTGGGAAGAAGTAAATGGTTAGCAAAAGCGGGAGCAAGCCTGGGGCAGAGGCAGGGCAGCGCTGGGCGGGGGCCTGGGGACCGTCTGGGGAGCCGTGTTGCTAGCGGCTGGAGCTCAGTGTTTGCCATGTCAAGCCTTGTGTTTCTCTCTGCTACACTGGTGTTTTTTTCTCCCCAGCTGAAGACTTGAATAAATATTTTGATTTTCTGTTATTGCCGACGATTTCTGCATCTTCTTATTTAACTTATGTCTTCTTTCCAAGCGAGAATATCCAGGTTTCGGTTGGATCTATTTTAAGGTGAATTAATTAACCAGCATAATACTACATTCATATGTTTCTGAATTAGTTTTTTTTTTTTACTCTAAAATAGTTACAGAACACATGGCATCGAATCCCTAGTAAACCACGCTGTCTTTTGCGTCTGTGTGTGTGTGTGTGTGTGTGTGTGTGTGTGTGTGTTTCGTTCTTCCCTGATAGGGGAACCTGCCTCCGGATTACAGAATCAGCCTGATAGACATCGGCCTGGTGATCGAATACCTGATGGGCGGGGCTTACCGCTGCAACTACACGCGCAAGCGCTTCCGGACGCTCTACCACAATCTCTTCGGCCCCAAGAGGGTGAGTTTTGCAGCCGGTTCCCTTTCCTGGGCTCCTGGGGAGGACTAGGGTGGGACACGTTTGGGATGTGGCTTCGTTATCTCCCAGGGGGAGATCCAGTAAGAAGGCAGCTGGCCCCACCCACCTCTTCCCTCCACCATCAAATCCATTAAAAAAAAAAAGGCAATGTATTGGGGGATACACCCCTTTCTTTTCTTCACTAGGTCCCCTTAAAATCAGAAACCGGCCCTGAGAGTGAGCCCTAATGATCAGGGACTAATCATGAAATTCATATTAGTCTTACCTGCCTCAATCACAGTTTTTGGTCTTGGGAATCCATTTATACCTTTAAAAAATTATTGAGGACCCCCAAAAGCTCTTATTTCTGGGAGTTCTATCAATTGCTATTATCGTGTTAGGAATTAAAGACTTCACAATATTTATTAATTATTAATATTAATTCATTTTCAATTAACTGTAAGAAGCCCATTACCTGTTAACATAAATGACATGTTTGTGAAAAATAACTGTATTTTCAAAACAAAATTTGGTATAAGAGTAGCATTGGTCTACATTTTGTGCATATTTCTGTAATATCTGGCTTAATGGAAGAAAGCTAGATTCTCATATCTCCTTCTGCACTCTGTTGCCAGATGTTTGGGTTGAATTGTACAAAGAAAATCTGACTTCACACAAAGATGTGACAAATATGACAAATATATATAAGTGTATATATATATATGTATGAAGGAAGGAGTGTTTTAATAATTTTTACAAATAATTATATTCTTTTTTGATGCTGCATACATCAAAACTCAGTTGGCAATTTCTTAAAGATCAGTGGAAACACAAAATCTGAAATAGTTCAATGAACTTTTCATACCCTGCAACTTCAGATTGCATTGACTGATCTTACACTTTGGATCTGGGAACATGGTAGACTGGTCATTGTATCATATCGGTTTGTCGAGTTATGCACATCTTCTGACGGCTGACACATTTCATTAGACAATTTCAGAAACTCGCCCTTCACTAAAATCACCTCCAATCTCATCAGAAAAGTCTTTAACTTCTGAAAAACCGTCCAGGTCATGGGGGAGAGAATATGCAAGTTTTTAAAAATTCTAATTTTTTTCTAATTTTGGCTTGGAAAATTCTGTCATTGGCAACAAATACCATCAGTTAGTTATTTTCCTTGAAACGACAGCTTCACTTAGGCCATTACCAAAAACGTCCGCCCAATGTCCAAGGCTAAGTAAACCGTAGTTGGTCTGCCAGTCATTCCTTCAAGTAGATCGCCCATGAAGCAGTGTGGCTTTAATCCAAGTAAGTGTGTGTTTGTCCTCAGAACGACCTGTCCTCTTCCACTATGTAGCAAAAGTGCTTTCAGCACACTTACCATTTCATCCCTCAAAATAGCCAAAAGACTTTTTTTTTTTAGTATGGAGGGTAGAGATTTAATATAGTTAACTTTTTTTTTAGGCCTCATCAAGGACTTCTTAAGTCTAACTGGTTTTTTGTTTGTCTTTAAACTTCAAGTGCGTAATAGTGGAATCTAATGGCAACTAGTGAAGTCTGGGGCTGCTGCTTTTGTCATTCCTGCTAGGGCCCCCCACAGTTTGGCTCACCACTCACTGCCTTTGCACCATCACTGCAAAATGTTAATGGGTATTGAAACCAAAGAACATCTTAGTATTATTAGGAAAACACCTCTGAGCCCCAGAAAGGATCATATGATTCCTGGACCACATTTTAAAACCGTTACTCTAGCTGGTGGTGGGCATGATTTCTGCCCTTTTTTTTTTTTTTTTAAAGACTTTATTTATTTATTTGACAGAGAGAGATACAGTGAGAGAGGGAACACGAGCAGGGGGAGTGGGAGAGGGAGAAGCAGGCTCCCCACAGAGCAGGGAGCCCAATGCAGGGCTCGATCCCAGGACCCTGAGATCAAGACCTGAGTTGAAGGCAGAGGCTTAACCCACTGAGCCACCCAGGCTCCTTGATTTCTACTTTTAACAAAGCTAATCTTCTGATGATGAAAGTATTTGGTGGTGCTCGAAGACCACTTTGAAAACACCAAAAAGTATAAATAAGAAAAATAAAATCACACAAATTTCAAACTGTGATCATTTAGAAGCTAAAAGGGAAAGAAAGGGAGAGAGACAAGGTTCAGGCTAGTCTTAGTTTTATTTTATTCCAAAATAAAATTTGGGGGAATGGAGAATACTTTAACTTTATTAGTTATAGAACAACTTCCAAGATAGCACCTCACCATTCTGTAACACTTAAAACACAGAACTGGAATTCCTGATCCCTGAGATGCAATTTTGTATCTCCACTTGTTAGGTATAAATCAAGTTCTGTAATTTGCTGAGTTGCCTTCTCTCTCTCTCTGTGTGTGTCTTGGCCTGTGACTATTTTGCACATTCCCAGCATGACCAGTGATCCCACTGTATGTGCTGACACTTTCCATGGCACTGAGCACCTTCTGCCACGGTCTGCACACGTCCCCGTGGCCCCACTCACCCTTGCCCTACTGGACAGCTACATAGGGAGATGGCCCGCGTGAAATACCTAAACACATACTCTGAATAATATTCCAAGTCTCCAGGTAATAGAGGCCTTGCAAAAGGGCTTAAGAAATAGCTCTTGGTTTGACTGAGCCCAAGTGCTTGAGATCATGGAGATGTCAGCCAAGCAGTTCAGTTCTGGGAAGATGAAGAAATTTTGGCTCATAAAAGAGATTATCAACAGGGTCTACTCTTGGACGATCTCATTATGCCTCTCTGGGTGTCTGGTTTTCTGTGATTCACCAAAATCACTAAATCCTTAATTCTAGAATTTCTTTTTTTTTTAATAAGATTTTATTTATTTATTTATTTGATAGAGAGAGAGAAAGTAGGCAGAGAAGTAGGCAGAGGGAGAGGGGGAAGCAGGCTCCCCGCTGAGCAGAGATCCTGATGCGGGGCTTGATCCCAGGACCCTGAGATCATGACCTGAGCCAAAGGCAGAGGCTTTAACCCACTGAGCCATCTGGGCCCTCCTTAATTCTAGAATTTCTATAAATGGGTTCCTCTTGTGGTGTTTTGCTTAGTGAAATGAATATATGCTATATGTGCAGTAGAGTTCTTCTATTACCTGGTTAAGATATAGTAGGATTCTTTTCTTACCTCTATCAAGAAAAATCTAACTTTATATATAACGTTTCTTTTTAAATAGCCCAAAGCCTTGAAACTACTGGGAATGGAGGTAAGTATTTGCCCAAATTATTAATGTCAATTATTTGTTTTCTTTATTATACATTTTAAATATATATATATATATATATAATATATTCATTTAATTGGTAAGGCTTAGTATGTGATTCTAAAATAAGGAAGGGAAGTTTTTTCCCAGTTTTTTTTTTTTTTTAGATTTTATTTATTTATTTGACAGAGAGAGATCACAAGTAGGCAGATGGGGGGGGTGGGGGAAGCAGGCTACCCACTGAGCAGAGAGCCCCATATGGGGCTCCATCCCAGGACCCTGAGATCATGACCCAAGCCTAAGGCAGAGGCTTAACCCACTGAGCCACCCAGGAGCCCATTTTTTCCCATTATTAAGGGGGGCAAGTTACAGTAGCTTTGAAAATTCCACCATAAGGTTACATTAGCATTACAAGTAAGAAAATAAGTCTTACTTGAAATATTATTTGAAAACCAAGGAAGCATATAAATTCCAGTGAGTGAAATCTGTTCATGGTTGTTTACAACTAGCAACAGATCCAAAGGCCGGAAATACTTCACAAATGCATCTAAGAGGTTTGTAGAAAGTGGAGATAGGTCATCTGTTTCCCATTTCCTGTCTCTTTGTGTGGGTGTTGTCATTTATGCACCTGTAAGAAAAGGATGTCCTTGTCCTTTCAGAGAAAAGGGCAATGCTGTCCATCATGAGGCACAAATAGCCTTTCCTGTAGGAAAAGAAATGGACAAAAACAAAAGTGAAAGGAAGGAAGGGAGGGAGGGAAGGAGGTAAGGAGGGAGGGAAAGGAGAAAAAGAAAAGGAAAAGAGAAAGGAAGGGAATGGCCCATTAAAAATACTTTTTAAAAATCAAGTATAACACCAGCATATTCCCATAGGGCTATGCTTCTGCATTCATTACAACTTGTTTTAAAGTTAGGCATGAGTACTTTTGGGTTAGGAGCTGGGATAGGCTAGTTTGTTTCTGTGTTGATCCCAGAACAGGACCCTTAGTAGGTATACAACAAATAACTATTTAATAAATGTAACTGGTTCGTTTCTAACTCCACCTCTGTGTTTTTTCCCTAAAATTATAGGATGATGTCCCCTTGAGGCGAGGAAGAAAGACCACCAAGAAGAGAGAAGAAGAGGTGGACATTGACTTGGACGACCCTGAGATCAACCACTTCCCTTTCCCTTTCCACGAGCTGATGGTGTGGGCCGTCCTGATGAAGAGGCAGAAGATGGCCCTGTTCTTCTGGCAGCATGGCGAGGAGGCCATGGCCAAGGCCCTGGTGGCCTGTAAACTTTGCAAAGCCATGGCTCATGAGGCTTCAGAGAATGACATGGTCGACGACATCTCCCAGGAGCTGAACCACAACTCCAGGTTGGCCAGCCCAGCAGGGGTCCTCAGATACTGGAGGGTCTGAGCTACCCAAACCTTTAAGCGTGGGTAGTATCACCTCCATGGCACACACAAAGAGGGTGGATGTGAATAATTAACATTTGTGGCACACAGTGCTAGACAGAGAAGTACACAAGGTACATAGATTGTATTTCATCCTCTCAGAGAATTAAGTAACTTGCCCAAGATCACACCCTCAGGGTTGATAGGGCTCCAACAGGAACTGAGGCCTGTCCCATTTAAGAAGACCTGCTGTACTCTGATTGTTGCTTTTTTCAGTCTACCTCCCCCACCCAGAGCCTTGAGTACCAGAACAACCGCCTGCTTGACTTACGCCCCCAGCACATAGTAGATGCTTAATCGACGTCAGCTAGATGAGCAAAGGAACAGACCAGACCCTATGAGAGACAACGAGGCCACCCAGTAACCACCTCCCATGGCTTGGCCCCCAGGTCCCCGCTTCCATCATCTAAGTCTCCAAGATGGCCAAAAGACACCCCCTCGCATTCTGTCTTCCAGGGACTTCGGCCAGCTGGCTGTGGAGCTCCTCGACCAGTCGTACAAGCAGGATGAGCAGCTGGCCATGAAGCTGCTGACGTACGAGCTGAAGAACTGGAGCAATGCCACCTGCCTGCAGCTCGCCGTGGCGGCCAAGCACCGCGACTTCATCGCGCACACGTGCAGCCAGATGCTGCTCACGGATATGTGGATGGGCCGGCTGCGCATGCGCAAGAACTCCGGCCTCAAGGTCAGCGCGCCCCGAAGGGCCTGTTGGCTGGGAGGCGTGGAGGGCTGGTTTAGCGCTCCCCAAGCCAAGTCTGTGGCGGGACTGGGCTCTCTCTGGTTTCAGGAGGGTGACTTGAAGCTCCAACTATGTATCGGAATCTTTTCTTTAGTGGGTTGTTGTTTTTTTTCATATAGAGACTAGGGCCTACCCCAAATTCTGCTAAGTCAGAACTTCTAGAGACGGCATGCCCAGACGTTAATATTTTGCAAATATCCGGAGGTGATGGGCCTACAGAGGTGCTATAGGAAGTACCGTGCGCTCTGGCACAAGCCGTGCTGTACCAGGAACCCCTCACCAGGCAACCTGTCCTGGCTGTCCACACCCCAGTGCCTCGGCTGTCTTTTGCACTGTGTCATAGGGACACTGGCTCTTAGTAGCTGTGCTTGAGAAACGTTTTAAACTGAAATCAAAAGGAGACGGATTTATAGGTAAAGATGTTGCCATATCATCACGATCTATTCATAAGTGAAGAGGAACAAGTGGTAGACCAGTTATATAAAGCCTGAGTCCGTCTGTGGTTTTTTTAAAGCATGTACGTGCCTAGTTACATCTGTCTATGATTTTGTTAAGAAACGAGGAAGGATATACTGTCAGTTGTTTGTAGCAGTTACTTCTGGGCTGGAAAGTACAAGACATGGGATGACACATGGCTTCGCTTCTTTATGTTTTCCTTAGTGTTTCACAAGGAAGTCCTTAAACTGAAAGACGTACAAAGAAAAAATGGGAGGGTGAGATGGAAAGAATGTTTTCAAATGCTTTCTCGGTCAAGAGTTTGTGGCTGTGACAACGGAAGTCAGGCTCACATTTACCTGGAGCTACCTGGTCTGGGTAACCCTGAGGTCAGAGCCAAGCAGAAGGGCCACCAGACCAAGCATTCCAGAGGCCACCCTGATGGATCCAGCACCCCTCCCCCACACCACCCTTCCCACAGGCTCTTGGCCCAGAGTCACAGAAGGGCTCCATGACGTGGATCATGGGTGCTTCATAGCCACACCTCTAGCGACTGCCAAGCCTGGCTCTCTGCTCCGAGGACGGGGTGTCATGTCCCCTGAAGGCTGCCAGCCAGCCACCTGAGCCTTCCCCCAGGCCTGCCAGTCACCCCGACCTCAGGGTCACCTCCTTCCCTTTTCCCTTGGTTGCTCCCGAGTCCCTGTGGACATTCAAGCACAGGCTGTCCCTGCCTCATTACTTGAGGATCATTTTCACTTACTGCTCGGGATCTCTCTGAGCCCCTCCCCTTGGCGCGGCTTCTCCAAGGACGCTCGTATTTAGAAGTCTCATACAGTAGAACCAGCTTAGTGTTTGAGAGGAGAGGCAGGAGAAGATCAAGGGAGCCCAAGTCACATGCCCAGATTATCATTCAAAGGCAGAATGCAATCGTCGCCTCGGGAGAAGGGCCCATGGATTTATTATCGTCACATGGAGGTGGAACCATGTCCTTTATACCTGAGAGGAACACAGTGCTGAGCCCCCTGGTTCCTCATGGTGAATAAGGAGCCCACTAGTGTGTGTGTGTGTGTGTGTGTGTGTGTGTGTGTGTGTGTGTGTATTTCTGTGCTATAGTAGCAAATGCCAGGCAGGTACTCTGGAATGAAAGCATGCTTTCCCACATGGACTTCCTCAAGGTCAACTGGGGACAGCCTTCTTTTACAGAGATAACCAGATGATGCATAATCACCTCCACTTGACGTGTTACCAGATAAATGCCAGGGGACATATGTAGGAATTGATTTCGCAAAACCAAGTGCTGATGGCTAAAGGAAAATCTGAATTCTTTCCCACTGTGACCTTGGGCAGGTTCTGGCATTTTCCTGGGTCTCCCCCACGCCAAGTGGATGTTAACTGGGTAAGATGTATTTGGGCAGGATACTGTTTCTCCAAACTCGGGCTGAGCTCCTGCCATGCATGACAGATTCTCAGACAGGCAAGAGTGACCCCCTGAGCAGTAACATATGCAGGTCCTTGTTCAGGGCACGCACAGTGCACACACGCATGCGCACACACACACACACACACACACGTACACACACACCCCACCCTAGGCCCTCTGATTCTAAAAAAGAAAAACAAAAAAAGCCCTAATCTTAATCCTTTAAATGTGATTATTATTATTATCATTATTATTACTTTAGGTAATTCTGGGAATTCTACTTCCTCCTTCAATTCTCAGCTTGGAGTTCAAGAACAAAGACGACATGCCCTACATGTCTCAGGCCCAGGAAATCCACCTTCAAGAGAAGGAACCGGAAGAGCCAGAGAAGCCCACGAAGGAAAAAGATGAAGAGGACATGGAATTGACAGTAAGGAAAACCACACAGTCATGGTCCACAGGCAGCAACCCTAACCTCCTTGAATCATAGACTTAAGGCTTAAGACTTAAGATGGCTTAAGACTCAGTCACTCCCGAGCTCACCCTCCAACCAGGTGTTTCCTTGAAGGATGCAGACCTGGGTATTACAAAAGGGTCTTCTCTGTGCACTGATGTCCATTTCTGCACAAAATCCTTCAGCCAGAGTCAGTGGCGCAGGGCCACCCAGGAGGACTGAAAAGCAAGGCACCTTCAGCTTTCCAAATGGGCAGTGCTTTATACACAAGCAGGAGAGGTGGCACGGAGCCTATAAGGGAGGCAAAGGCATCGATGGGATGGGAGCAGCCAGCTTCCCTGGGCTGGAGCCGTGCAGGTGATCAGATGCGCCGCCTTTTTGTCTTCAGGATCAGGCCCACAAATGCAGGACTAATTGAATTTTGAGGTTTGTATGGAAGGCTTTTATTAGCTCTCCCTGGTATAATTATAGAAAGTGGCTGCTTTGTTCTGCAGGGGAAACAGGGCAGCTGGGCATGGGACGGCTTCCCGCAACCCCCGCCCAAGCAGCGTGACTGCTACTGGATTGTATCCAAAGTCTAAAAATATCACCTGCCGTTAAAGGGACAGGCAGGGCTTCTGAGTTTTGGAGACAGCAAGTAACAACTCTGTAGGACTTCCTTGATATCCCCCGCCCTCCCCCACCATGACTGTGATGACCCAAAAAACCTGTAAAGAGAGAAAACAAAAATGGGTTTTGCTCAGGTGACAAAAGGCCCTTTGCATTATTAGCCTAGTGAGACCGCCCTGTGAATAGTTTTTCTTCCAGATCAACAATATTTCCTTCTTAAAGGGAACAGTTCCAACCCCAAGTACAGCAGGGCATAGGCATCTAACCACTCTTTTGATTGATTAATCATTCACAGTTTCTGACTCACAGAGTTAAAAAAAAAAAAGAAAGAAAGAAAGAAAGAAAGAAAGTTTGTTTTCCATTTCAGGATTCTTTTTTTTTTTTTAGATTATTTATTTATTTATTTGACAGACAGAGATCACAAGTAGGCAGGGAGGCAGGCACAGAGAGAGGAGGAAGCAGGCTCCCTGCTGAGCAGAGAGCCTAATGCAGGGCTCGATCCCAGGACCCTGAGATCATGACCTGAGCCGAAGGCAGAGGCTTTAACCCACTGAGCCACCCAGGCAGCCCTCATTTCAGGATTCTTATAAAAACGAGTGGACGGGTCTGCTTGCCTCCATGATAGGATCAGAAGACCGTCTCCATAAAGAGCTTGCCATAATGGTGACCTCTAAATCCCTCAAGGAGAGGGAACAATGTTTTAGTCATTAACAGAAACAGTAATAGTCATGGTACCAAGTCTTTACCAAATACTTCAGTAGAGGGGCAAAGAGTGTATAGCCTGGACCCAGAATCCTGCCCCAGCACCTATGCACTGTGGGACCTGGGTCATGGCTGCTTCACCTCTAACACGGGAATAAGAACATTATCCAGCTCACAGGTAGTTTTTCAGTCTAAGAACCGTACATGTAAATTCTCTAGATCAGGGCCTGGTACACAGTCAGCCTTGATAAATGTTTGCAAATATTGTGATCACAGTAACAAATATTTGATGTGCACCTGCTCCTGGAATCCTCCCAGCCATCCCATGAGGTAGATACTGTTATTATCCCATCTTACAGATGAGGAAGCTGAGACTCAGAGAAGTTAAGTTGCCCAAGGTTACCCAGCTAATTCGTTGCAAGGCCAGGATTAGAACCCAGGTATAGAGATCCCATCGGCCATGCTTGGAGGCCTATAGGCTCAGGGATGCAGAGAATTTCTTCTTAGTCTCAAATGTAGGGATTCAGGTTTGGTCTACCATATAGCAGAAAGAATCCAAAAATAATGCATGGGCCTCCTGCATCAAGGATGACATGACCTTGAAGCCCAAGGAAGGAGCCTATGAAGGCAGCCAGGTGCTAGATCAGCATTCTTTGTGGTTGGGTCTCGAGCAAGAAAACAACAGAAACAGCTCCCTTCTCCTGCTCTGGGTAGAACTTTGAGGGCCTGGACCAAAGTCTGGTTCCCAGAGAGTCGGCCCCACTGTTGTATACCCAAGTCAAAGCCAGCCCATGAGGAGTACTGCCAGGCCTTCTCCCCTGGAGGCAGAAAGAGCTAGGAGGAATGGAAGAAGGGACTTGTGCGCTGGTAAAGTCAGGGCTGAACAGCAGCCGTCTTCAAGCTGGAGCTTCCTCTGGCCCCAAGGACAATTCTGTGACTGCTGGATCACTGTTCTTGTCTCACCCCGGGGAGGGTTGATGAGTGCCGCCTGTTGATACCTCCACTCTTTTCATAGGAATGCTATCTGGACTTCTGTGTTAAGCCAAACATCTCCTTTCTTGGACTGGGACGTTTTCCCTGGCCCTTCCAAAATTATACACGGGCATGAGTCTCCGTTTCATCTCGGTAGCCTTTCACAGATCTTTCCCAGACCCGACATCTGTGTCCAGCCAGCAAAAAATTCTCCAATCCATATTGTGCCGTTTTGCCTGTATTTGACCCTATTACATTCTGCTAAAGGAATGTAGTCAAAGGAAATGTTTGGCTACTGGGAAGAGAAATCAAGAAAATCAGTCAGTTGAGCTGCTTAGGCTAGAATTAATGAAGTTTTGGAAAATGCTTTCCTTCAATCCATGAAAGAAAAGCGTTTTAAAAAAGCATTCACTTGGGAATTATTGGAATAAGAAAGGCCAGGCCGGCTGTGGTGTTTTTGTTTTTGTGTTACCTGCATTGCCGGATAAGTGTTTTTGCACTCTGCCTACTAAAGTCCCAGCCTATCCATGGACCCAGGGCATTGTTTCAACTCTGTTGAGGGAAGCCACTGTCCCTAGAGGTTACCCCAAGATGTCACTCTCCAAGACGCCTGAAACTCCCCAAGGTGCCTTTGCTAAAGTTCTATTATGTCTCCAAATAGTACTGTACTGTTGAGCAGATAAATAAGTAGAACAGAGGCAGGATAAGTATGTTACATAAATTATAAATTATAGAAGGATAAATATCATGGAACGTCGGAGTTTCTTGAGGTCAATATTTATAGAAGTCTAATGTGCTCTATCCATCATGAAGGCTGACCCAGCTCACTGACCAAATGAAGGCTTGGATAGGCCATCAAATGGGATCTTACCTATTCATTAAGTCAAGGCAACCTTCTAGCCAGAGAGTCCAAGAAAGAAATGGAAGTTACCTCGTTACCTTCTCCAGAAATCCCACAGATTACAGGTTTATCATTTATTGTTATATATGTGAGTAGTTAGATAGTTGAGACGATGACAAAAGTAGTTGAAACTTATATATGTATGTCTTGAGTAAGGTGGTTTGAAACCAGAATTATCTGTTTCTCAAATTCAAAATAAACAAATTATTTCTATAATATAATTATAATAATTTCTATAATCCCAGTATTTTTCTTGTCCCAAATCCTTGTCACTCTCTGAGCAGTTCGAAGGATTTGCCCTGTTATCACATTTAATAAAAATCTCATTTCCCTCAAAAAAAAAAAAAAAAGTCTTTTGCAATGATATAGATGGAACTAGAGGGTATTATTCTAAGTGAAATAAGTCAGTCAGAAAAAGAAAAGTATCATGTTTGTCTTTTTCATTCATTCATTTCATTTATTTCATTCATTCATATGTGGAATTTAAGAAAAAAGACAGAGGATCAAGGAGAGGGGAAGGAAAAATAAGACAAAAACAGAGAGAGAGGCAAACCATAAGAGACTCTTAACTCTAGGGAACCAACTGAAGGTTGCTGGGGGGAGGTAGGTAGTGGATGAGGTAACTGGGTGATGGGCATTAGGGAGGGCACTTGCTCGAATGAGCACTAAGTGTTATATGCAACTGATGAATCACTGAACTTTACCTCTGAAACTAACAATATACTATATGTTAATTAATTAAATTTAAATAAGATAAATAATAAAAAATACAAATAAATAAAAATGTCACTTACCAAATATTATAGAACTAACCTTTCCTTAGAATAATATTGAAAGAATTAAAGCCAGCACACCTGGGTGACTCAGTCAGTTAAACGTCCAATTCTTGATCTCGGCTCAGGTTTTCATCTCAGGGTTGTGAGTTTGGGCCCCATGTTGGGTTCCACGCTGGGCATGGAACTGAAAGAAAGAGAGAGAGAGAGAAGGGAAGGAAGGAAGGAAGGAGGGAAGGGGTTGGGAGGAAGATAGAAAGGGAGAGAAGGAGAAAGGAAGAAAGAGAGAGGGGGAGGAAGGGAGAAAGGGAGAAAGAAAGGGAGAAAAGGAGAGATAATGGAAGAAAGGAAGGAAGGAAGCCAATAAATTATGTTATATTAGACCCTGATAATACTTTTCTTTTTTCTGGTGAGAGATTCGCAACTAGATCCTTTCAGTCAAGAGTACCCAAGAAAGTCTCAGTTCGTTGTAAACATCAGCTGGAATGTACTGAGCTCTTATTAAGAGGACAGATGCTTATTGATTTATAGACCAATCCTATAAAAGATGCTATTATTACCTCCAATTTAAGATAAAGAAACTAAGATTCAGAAAGCTTTTCCCAAGGTGCTGTGGGTGCCACGTATCCAAGAGAGGACTCAGTCCTCCTCCTGAGTGACCCAAAGTCTGGACCTCTTCACCAGTGGGATCTCCAGCCCTCTTTGGGACACTCATCCTGTCACGTGCTGTCCAGACAGGCATGCATCTGCCTTTTCTCAAATTCTGCCTTTTTGTGTGCTGTTTAATGACTGTTTTTGCTGCTGCCGTTGCCATGAGTGAGAAGAAGACAATTCTATTTGTAAAGAAACTTCCAACAGCCTGGAGACCAGGCCTCTCCAGGTCAGGCCCTGCTTCTCCGAGTCCCACTTGGCGGACTGTCCCACCCAGAGGAAGGCCATGTGCCTAGGAGTCGCCACGAAACTAATACCAGCAGGAATGCAGGATTTATGGGGTCTGAAAACCAGGAGCCAAGGTTTATGCCTCAGGGTAGAGATGTTTCTAACCTAACTAAGCTCCAGGCATTTCAGATAACAGCCTCTGAAACACTTCATAACCTTTGGGTAAGTTAGGTATTACTGGTCCAGTGTATTTTTTACTTAAGAGTCGTTAGCCTAAGTGAAGACAGAATTCGAATCCAGATCTGCCTGTCTCATTACATGGATGGGGAGAGGGGTGGAAAAAGAAAAAAAGATGCCTGGACTTCTCCCTGTCAGAACCCTGGGTATCTTCCATCATGGACATCTTCCAGAGCTCCCAGGGTAGAAGAAAAGAGCATAATCAAGAGCTCTCCCTAAGGCTTCCATCCTGGGCCAAAACCTTTGATTCTATATATATTGCAAATGCACGCTTAGGAAAGGCACAATGTCTGAATCTCTAGGGACCCAGGACAACACCCTCCAGCTCTGTGAGCATGCATGCTTGGTTGGTAAAATGAGCACATTGAACTACCTGCCTTCCGGGGCCCTGCCGTGATGGTATTGATTCTCTTCCACTGTAGGCAATGTTGGGACGCAACAATGGGGAGTCTTCCAGAAAGAAGGATGAAGAGGAAGTTCAGAGCAGACACCGGCTGATCCCCCTGGGCAGAAAAATCTATGAATTCTACAACGCACCCATCGTGAAGTTCTGGTTCTACACCGTAAGCATCTTCCTTTTTCTTCTTGCTCACGGGTGACCGCAGAGAGCCAAGGTCAGGTTTGCGTGCACGTACGCGCCTTCCTCTGAGTCCCAGATCAGTGGAAGGATCACACAGGCAGGAATGAGAGCTTTTCCCAGGGGTTCTCCAAGACGTGTGGAGTGTGCGAGGCAGCTTCCCCAGCGTCTGCATTTCTCCTCCTTGCAGAAAGTAAAGGAAATGGTAAAAGTGAGAACTAACAGAAATAGAGGCGAGATGAGTATGAGTCTAGTCTAGCAGGAAAATAGATGTCATTTTCTAAAATGCTTCTGTGTTCTGGTTGGATGAGCGCTGGATCAGAGTTGCCCGTTTTCGATGCCAATCCTGGGTTTGGGGGACGCCTGAAGGATAAGGACCGAGCAGAGTGTCAGAAGTAACACCACTAAAGGGTGGAGGTGGGGGGAACCTAAGTGTGTGACTACTGCCAACCTGGGAGTGTCATCAAACAACCTTTCTTGCTCAGACACAATTAAACAACATGCCAAACAAGGCAGCAGAAAGCGCTCACAGTCACCTACGATCATGGCAAGGATGCTTCAGGGCCCAGAGATAAAGATCGTCCCTGAAAGAGCCTCTGGATAGGGAAGAAATGGCTCCGCTGTTGACTTTCTACTTCTCTGTTTCATGGCATTTTAAGCCGAAGGTGAGCACAGGCTCAGGTCAGCTCTGTTCTCCCCAGCCACGGTGGCACTGCATGGTCCCCTATGCTCGCACTTGACGCTGTCTTTCAATCAGGCTTTCGGAACCTCAGCACGACGGACACGTTAGGCAGAGTGATTCTTGGTGGAGGAGGACTGTCCCGGGCATGATCGCACTTTCAGCTGCAGCCTTGGCCTCTGTCCACTAGATGCCAGCAGCGTTCTCTAACCCCGGAGCAGGGCGACCTCAAGGTCTCCGGACATTGCCCCGTGTCCCCCCTCCCCCCCCTTATGGGCGGACGTTGCCGCGGGTCGGGTCGGAAATGACTGCTTTCAACGAAGATCTTGGAAGAGGGTATCATCAAAATATAATTATCAGATTTTTTTAGTGAAGTAAAAATTCCTTAAGATGGGGATAATAATAGCACCTACTTTGTAGGATTTCGGAAAGATTAAATGTGTTAAAATATGTAAAGCACTTAGAACGGTGCTTGGAACGCGGAAGCACAATAGGAATGTAACTGTTTTTATTCTGAGGCTAGTCACAGTGCACAGTGAGATTTTTATTCATCCATCCACTCAATAATGTTAATATCCGTCTTTGAACACCTACTATGCAGCCCTGTTAGGAGTGCTTTACATAGACTTTCCCTAAACGAACAGTTTTATCAAGACAGTGGTTTTCCTGCATTTTACACCCATTCCCGTCTTTCCTCTCATACCAGGCTCCCTCAGCTGTCTCCACCTAGAACAGGGCTTGGCAAGCTATATTCCCAAAGGCTGAATCCAGTCCCCAATCCAGCCGCATCATTGTGGACCGCAAGCTAAGAATGGTTTTCACGTTTGTAAAGAATGGAAAATAAAATCGAAGGAAGAACATGAAAATTATATGAAATTCACACTTCAGTGTCCATAAATAAAGTTTTCTTGGAACACAACCAAATTCATTTGTTTACCTATAATCTGGCTGCTTTGTGCTACAACCATTGAGTCAATTACTTGCCATAAAGGTTGTCAGGCCTGCAGAACCTCAAAAATTAACTTTCTCATCCTTTACAGAAGAAGTTTGCTGTAGACTTCCTGATCTAGAGCATAAAGGAACCAGAAGGAGCCATAATATCGAGAATTATCTATCACCTTTACAAATATAGGACTCCCTTCTCTTATCCTTCCAAAACTTCTCTTTTTCCCTTAATCTTTGTTTAGTATTAACTTTATTTCTTTGATTCCCTTGGCCCCCATTTATTCAGCTGTGGTTTCTTAGCCAAGGATGCTTTTATGTCACCAATGCCCTGGACAGTGGTTTTCAGCCTTGGCTACACCTTGGAACCACCTGGAGTACTTTAAAAAGAAAAAACAATACCTGGGTTCCATTTAATCTCTATCTTCATCTATTTTTTTAAGGGCACCTGGGTTCTATTCTCAGCGATTCTGACATCATTGGTCTGGGGCACAGCCCAAGCATCCGGGTATTTTGCAGCTCCCGGGTAGTTGCAAATGGGCAGCCAGGGTTAAGAACCACCGCTCTAGGCAGAGGCCCAGGTTTTAGCCCAGTATTTCCCCAAACTTCTGTGATGATAAAGAATCTTGTTAGACATACAAATCCTGGTCCCATCACAGACCCGTTAAATCAAATCTCCAAGGAGGAGATGAGGAGGTTGTAGGTTTAACAAGCTTCCCACGTGAGTTCTGTGGTTCCGGAAGCTTGGGACACACTGCTTTCCTTGTCTCATTAGTTGGCAGGTCGTGAAGCTGCCTCTGAGAAGGGGAGCCTCCGTGTCTAGCTCCCTCCCACACAGCTGACTATAGACTAGATGCCCCAGTTCTGTTTGGTTGTATTTATACAACAACGTTCAGAAACCCATGTTTATGTATTTGCAAAGCCCAGGCCTCAAGGAAGTACCTGGAGATGAGGAGTGCCCGGTTTTGAAATCCCCAGAGACGCTTAAGAGGAAAATTCAGCTTTAGATCAAATGTCCCCATGGCTTTCAGTTGTGTTCTTTTCTGTAAGAGTATTTCCCACTCTGGTTTCAAAAAATATCCCCTTCTACGCTCCCAAGTTTCTCAAAGATAGGACACACCTCGCTTCCGCATAACCTCACTTCTAGTATCTTAGCAATCTTCTGGAAGAGCAGGTTGGGTCCTCTTCTGTTCCAAGAAGAAAGGAGGCAGGGATCCAGCTGGCTTCCAGACCTGGTTTGTAATGAAAGCCAGTTCAACTGCCCAGCTGGAGAGAATGCCAGTTCAAGCTATGAAAGAGGACCCAAGACAGAGCACAAGGGACATGCTCCGGGCTCCTCCAGCAGCGACAGACTCCTTCCTCCATTTCAGTGCCACGTGTCCCCTCTACTCTCCAGCAGCAGTAGGAAAATCTGGACCCACCCAACCTACTGGGGGCTTTGGTGCTTGTATCACATAGTTCAGGAGTTGTGCATCTTGTCAATGGAAAATTGATACAAAGAATATCGAAGCCAATAACATACAAACCCTTACAGGATTCCCGTTGACTTCAATAAGAGTCATAAGGTTATGTTTCTATTCAAAGCTTTGACATTCTACACAGAGCCTGTGAAAGCTTGCAGAATACATGTGTGGATGTGTCTACACACGCACGCACACACACACACCACGGAAGCATGTCATGTTAAGGTAATCTGCGGCAAGACTCACAAATGTTGGTGAGTTCTAAGATAGGTTGCTTCCCAGACAGCAGCCAGTCCTCCGTCATGCCATTTAAACACATTTAAAACCGTATTTTTGGAAGTCCATATTTTGAGAATTGTCCCAAAATGTTATATTGTAGCCTGATTATGGAAAGAAAAACACCATAGAGTAACTGGGATTTAAGGAACAGGCTGATCATGGAAGAAGCATGAATGTTAATGGGGGCAATTTAGAAAAGGAGAGGTATGGCTAGTTAGTTAACAGGATCCAAAGGAAGCAAGGAGTGAGGCAAGAGGAGACAAGAGAAATAGAACTTTCTTGAAAAAAGAGGCAAATAATAACCGTAGCCACCATTCATGGGGCCTCTACTGTCAGGAAAGAGACATACATTTCCCCCCCTCTCTCCCCTCACCCAGTCCTTCCCAAAGCTCTGTAAGGTCAGTAGCCGTCAACTCAGGTCAGGATGGAGGCCCAGGCAGGTGACGTGATTTACCCAAAAAGATACAGCTTGGAAGGACCCGAGCTAGGATTTAAATCCAAGTTTCACTGACCGGGGTGTCTACATTCCTTCCACCCAATGAATATGCTAGACCTGTATTTGGAGGACAGAGGCAGGTTGGAGGAGTGAAATGATAAAACGCTGAGGTTCGGGAGAATGGTGTGTGTGTCACTGGGCCTCCATGTGCCAGGAGAAGATAATGCTTTGGAATGTGTTGCAGTTAATTGGGCGATAAACACCAGGGCAGTTAAGGAGACTGGTTTGTCCTGAAGCAATGGAATGGGCTCCAACAAACAAAAAGAAGCAACCAGAAAGAAGGATTTCAGGCCAGGAGGGGGCTCAGCATATGTTTTAGAGTTTAGCTGTCGAAGTCCACTGTGTCTTGAGAAATTCTCACGGGGACCAGAGCGGATGCCAGTGTATAATGGTAAACAGGAACCCCATGAACCAAGTTACATTTTAAACAGCATCCTGTGTGGTTTCAAGGAGAGGAGACTTCTCAGATGAGGTGGGCAGAGGTTGCTGAGAATCCCCAAGGGGAAGGGTGGGACCTGAGGTGTGGAATAGAATGACAGGCCCAGAAGGGGCGGGTGTACAAGAGTGCGTCCATCAGGTGGAGAACGAGCCCTCCTCGCCCTCGGGCCTCCCCATGGCTTCCGCACCCAATCTGCAGAGCTCTGACATCTGTTCTCGCCAGAGGTGAGGAATTAGAAGGTCGTGTCTGCAAGCGCACCAAAGTCATTGGGTCTTTAAAAATGCCTTTGACTCGTATTAAGAATCTGTGTATTCATTTTATTGAAAAAGGAAAGGGAGAGGGAGTGGCCCCATTAGCAGAGAATGCTGTATTTCTCCAGCTTTGCAGGGCTGCCGGCTCCCCTTCGGTCTCCCAGCCAGGCGGAGCCTTTTTCCACCTACTAAGCTGCCTCCAGGGCTCCAAAGTCACCCTGTACCTCTAAGGCCTCAACCTTTTTGCCCACACTGTGTCCTATTCTTTGCTATGTGGGCTCCGAAGAGTGCCTATAGGAATGAAGTCACTCTCAGTTCCCACGCACAGCCTCAAAGCCCCCAAAATCAGCAAGCGCCTTAGCTTGCAATGTCATCTAGACAAGGCTGAGCTCACACGCCATTTCCCCAAGGGGGCCTTTTTCTCCAGAGGTTCCTCGCCTCTCTGTGCGAGAACTTCACCGGCCCTCCTCCACTCCACCCACTCATCGAGATGTAACTGAATGCTCCAGGGACAGTCACCAAACCTGAGCCCCAAGTTTTCCTCAGACACCTAGCCCTTCAGCCAGTCCTATTGGGATACAAACAGGATTCAAGCCTCGTGAGGATTATACCCCCTCCAAGCCGCAGTAGGATACACAGACCTGTTCCTTTCTATAAATCGCTTTCTCTTCTCTTGTTTTCTTTTGAAGAAGCAGAAACCAGGGAGGAAGACCCCAACTTGGGTTGGGTGGGGAGGTGGTACAACGGAAAACAGATAAATCCCTCCCCGGGGTCCCGCCAAGCCAAGCACATTAAAGTAGGAGGGGAAAAAAAAAAAAAAAAAAAAAGAAGGAAAGAAGAAGACATGAACTCGGAAAATAATTCAAGTGAGACTTCGAGATCAAGTCCAGTCTATTTTTACATTGGTTTGACTGGTTTACAAGTACAGTATAGTATGTGTCTTCCTTTCCTTCCTACAGACATTTAATCTAGCTGGCATCCGTTAGGCTCAAATCCACTGTGTTGCCCTCGTTCAAGAACCTGAGACTCAGGCGGGAACGAGAATAGCCCTGAGAGAAGCGGTTTGCTTTTCAGCCAGAAAGACACAAGAAACTGGGTAATCGCAAAACAAAATGATGCTTCAGGACACAGAGGTGTAAGCAGAGTACTGGGACCCAGACACACGCGTAAGGGTCAAAAGGAAGACAGCACATCACATGATTTCAGATAGTATTACCGTGGTGTTTTTTTTTTTTTTTTTTTTTTTTTTTTAAATTCTTTGGACAGTTGAAAGCTTTCAGGTTAATTCCATCGTGAATGCTGTGTCCGGCTCGCTGACCTTGTTCCGGCCTGCGCGGCGGGCTCCTTCCGTCCCAAGGGCGGGGCTCCCGGGTCTTCGGAACCCAGGCGCCCTCTCCATTGTGCTTCCTTGCAGCTGGCGTACATCGGGTATCTGATGCTCTTCAACTACATCGTGTTGGTGAAGATGGAGCGCTGGCCTTCCACGCAGGAATGGATCGTCATTTCCTACATATTCACCCTGGGAATAGAGAAGATGAGAGAGGTAACCGCTTTCAGAAACGAGAACACGGGAGAAAGACGGTGGTTAGTTACACTTGTGGGTGGAAGGGGCGGGGGGTGGCTGCCGGGGAGCCAAATGAAGCCAGAAACTGTATTCTCTAATGCTGCTGTAGAAATAATGGACTTGGCCTTGAGGAGGCCTTGACCTGGGGAGGCATCACAGTGTGTTTATCAGTTGCCACTCTGCGCATGCTCAGGGTCTGCTCTAGCTTCTGCCCACAAGAAACCCTCCCCCTGTCTCTGATACCGTCGACGCCTCTCTTTCCTCGACCCCATAAACAGGACTTCTCAAATTGTTCCATTTTTCCACTTTTAACTCCCGCTGCAACCCTTTACTCTGGGTCTCTTTGGACACTGTCATCCAATACCTATGATTCTTCAAATGCGTTTCAGCAGCTGTGGGAGGAGGAACTATGCTTTCGTTCATTAATTCATCCTCTGGTTTATTCCTTCTCCACATTTATTATGCACTTGCTCGGCACCAGCCTTTCCACCAGCTCTAGGCATCACGGAGGTGAAATGAAGAGACTTCTTGCCCTTCAGCTTGAGGATGTGGGTCTCCCTCTTCCCCCGCTCCCCAATCCCCATCTTGCAAAAGGAACCAGCATAATAACCCCACACCCACAGGTCTTGCTTGAAGTCAAAGCCGGCCCCGGGGGCCATCAGAATGTGAGCTGCTAAAATGAATGTGCTCAGGCAGCGGTCCACTAGAGGGCTCTGCGACCCTGCTAAACGTGCCCCACGAACTCCCATTCCCTAGGCTGGGGAGGCGGGCTTGCCCTCCGTGAGCATTCTTCTGCATTTCCCCGGGGAGTCAGCAGGCAAGGCCTCATCTGGAAGAATTACTCGCCATCAAGTCCACTGCACCCTCAGGAGCTCCGGAACAATCCTACTCATTATACTATAGTGAGTGGGAAGATGTATCAGGCTCCACAGAAAAAAAAAGGATTCCTACAAATTCATAAATTCATCCTTGCCTCCGTTACCAAGACAGGTTAAAAACTCAGTATCTTAGGTTACAGCTCTCGAATGTTCTCTTCCAGAAAAAAGGGGACGCAGTATCTACTAGATGCCATCATACTGGGATCATTTAAAAAAAAATCTCCTCAATATATTTAGAGCCCTTCTTTTGGCTTTTTAAACTGCTTTGGGGATACTTAAATTCTAATCGGCATGCCCCCATCCTGAGAGTTTGGAGGTGTGTACTAGTCCCTTTCATGAGCTGGATTTTTTTTTTTTTTTTTTAACGGATGCCTTGCCTGGCCCTGTTCTAGTTGGTGGTCTTCACAATGCCTTCTACTTCCTGACCAGGGCCGCGGACCTCCCATCTGTGAACTGAACAACTGTAATAAATTGGCTGCGGTCTTTGTGCAGCTCTCTGAGAACCGAGGGCTGCTACTCACTGGTCAGGGCTCTGCTGCTGCTAAGCGCCAGCTCCCCTCCCGTGATTTAAAGCCCTGATGCATATTCCTTCCCCATGATAAGCAGAAAAGGGAAAGACTTGGGCAGGGAGACTGGAATCCCTCCAGGGACCAGACTGGAAGAAGACAGGGAGCAGTCTGTACTCCACGGACTGTTCTGGAAGAGGCTGCCAAGCAGGCGGGCTGCCAGGAACCTCCCGGCCTGGATATCCATTTCTCCTGAGGCTGCATGTACCAGTGCACAGGGCCGGGCTCTGCAGCCTCGGGTCAGCAGGGGGTCAGCCCAAGAGCCCGGCTTCGGAGGAGGCAGCGCACAGGGAGGCGCTGACCACCTTCCTGCCCGGTCCCGCCTTTTTCTCCTCGGCCTGGCGAAGCAGCCGCCCCCGCCCGGCGCCCCGGGACCCATCCCAGCGAGGATGCCCGAGCGCCCCGAGGCCGAGGACCCCACAGGTCCCGCCTCCGCATCTCCCGCAGCGCGCGGGCACGCCAGATCCTGGAAACGTGGGAAAGTCTGCAGGCTTCCCGGCCTCCCAACATACAAGCGGGGCTTTGTGGCTTCACAGGCGGCCCTCCCATTCCCAGCACCACATACTGCTGCGCGCAGTCACCGACACCGGCCGCGGGGATCCCTCTAGATCCCGGAACTGTTTACAGCGCGCCGGGGCGGACGTCCTCCCGCCCGGACCCTCCTCCCCGCAACCGCGCGAGGGCACCACGGGTCCGCGACCCGCGGCCACGCCCCCTCCGCCGCCACGCCCCCTCCCGCCGCCACGCCCCCTCAGAGCCCGTCGGAGAAGCTTTAGTTTCTTGGGCCTTCGCGCTTCAGCTTCCCCGCGGCCCCTCGGCCCTGCCCTTTTTTGTTTACGTTGAGATCTCACAAAAAGATCGCTGCCGCTTAAAACATGAAGCTGTCAGCCCCTGTGTTGACCAGTTAGTTGAAGGAAGGTGTGGACCCAGGGTGAGAAAACTCCCAAGTCAATTCCCGTCCCCACCCCACCCCCACTCCGCCCATACACGCGGAGTTTGCCCTCGTGGAGGCGAAGCCGGGTGAGAAGCCACCAGGACGGCGGCAGGTGCGGGGATCCCGATGGGTAGGACAGTGGTTCTCGACCCGTTGTCACCGGCTTGCCCTGGGTTAGAAATGTCAACTCTCGAGCCCCGCGGCCGGCGCGCCGACGCAGAAGCTCCAGGCGCAGGGCGCAGCCGTCTGCGCTTTCGCCCGCCCGGCAGGCGAGGCTGATGACGGGCTCCGGTCGGAGAAGCCCCGGGGCTAGGGTTAGGAATGGCGCCCGGCAGAGCAGGACGCGGGAGGCTACGCGCTGGCGCGGGTGTTCGCGCAGCACTCCAACCCCTCGTCCCAAGACCTCCCTCCCTTAATATTTCAGGCCAAGGTAAGCCATCAAAGGGGACACAGGATTCCCATAAATAGCTGCAGATTCGACCTGCCCCCTGTCTTTGCTTTCCTCTCCTTTGAGAGGAGGTCCGGAGCTGGGAAAGCGGGGCTGGTGATGACGGCGGCAAGGGACGGAAGTCTCCGGGTAAATCCCCAGGATTCCTGAAGGTAGCCCAGCTCTCCAACCTCACTAGGCCGGCCTTCCTGGCTCCCCGCATCCGCCGGCAGGTTGTGCTGTGGGTGGGGTGGCAACTCCCACTATCCAACTGTGCCTTTCATGGAGCCTGTGTGTGGCAGCAGAAGAGCCCCTCTAGATTTAAGGTCCCTCAGAGTCCCCTCCTCCCCACCCCAGCTGCCAATGACGTAGGAGGGAGCGGAGAATTGCTGTGAGGACGTGTCCATGTAGCGGTCAGTCAACAAACATTTATTGAGAATCTGTTATGTCACAGGCCCTGGGGAGCAAAGGGTCTGCCTTCAGAGTTTACAGTCTAGCGGGGTTGATAGGTAGACAGACACATACAACATATTTACATGCATACAGAAGCTAGGATAGTGGAACATAAGGGTAATATGTTACTGACTGACTTGGGGATGGGGAGGCCCCTGTAGGTAGGGTAGTCAAAGAAGTAGTCTAAGAAGGGGAAATCAGAGCAGAGACCTTGAGGAGAAAAATCTGGGAGAAGAAAATACCCAAGAGAAGGAACAGGTGCAAATATCCTGAGCATAGAATGAACTTGCTATGCTGGAGAGCACACCACTGTGTCTGCAGGTGAGAACGGCAAGAATAGGGTGGGATGTGACATGAGGCCACGGGAAGGAGTCTGGATCTTTCTCTGTTTGTATTGGAAGCCATCGGGCGATTTAAATATTCACTTATCACAATTTGCTTTAGTTTGTTGTTGTTGTCGTTATTGAAGAAAATGAACACCTCGTAAGGGTCCAGCTTGATGGCTTTCTGTCTACCCGTACAACTGTGTAATCGCCGCCCAGATCATGGCTTCAGTTTCTAAAGATCATTCTGTGTGCTACTCAGAGAATGGACTGAGGAAGGGTGGGCATCCCTGGTGGCAGAGATACTGGTTAGAAGGCTGTTGCAATCATCTGCTTGACGTGATAGGACTTAGAATAGAGTGGCAGCAGTGGGTAGTGGTGAGAAGTGGTTGGATCAGATCGTATTTAGAAATAGAGGTGATATTGATGCAATTCTCTGGATGTGGAGAGAAGACTGAAGGAGTCCTCCCTGGGGATCTGAGGAACTCAATATGGTGGCACCAAGACGGAGCAGAATTTCAACAGATTTACAGTGTATTAGGAATCAGTAATTTTATAGTAAAACCCACATGCGTGTCTTAGGGTTGTAAGGCAACCCAAAGGAGAAAACTTCTTGCTTATATTTGCCTCCAGAATGTTTGTCTCTGCATGGCCTAAGTTTAGTTTGGTTGTATATTCACAGCATGCACATATCCAAGTAGACCCAGGTAAACAAAACAAGCTACGGATGTCGACTAACAGTCCAAGCATTTTCCAGCTGGACCAAAAATATAGACTGAAATCAGACCTAAGCCCATTCTCTTTCCTGTCTTTTAGATTCTAATGTCGGAACCAGGGAAGTTGCTGCAGAAAGTGAAGGTGTGGCTGCAGGAATACTGGAATGTCACAGACCTGATAGCCATCCTTTTGTTCTCTGTGGGAATGATCCTTCGTCTCCAAGACCAGCCCTTCAGGAGTGATGGGAGGGTCATCTATTGTGTGAACATCATTTATTGGTACATCCGTCTACTAGACATCTTCGGTGTGAACAAGTATTTGGGCCCCTATGTAATGATGATTGGAAAAATGGTAAGCAGGATCCTCTGATTCCATGTTGTACATTTGCAGAGGAGGAGTTATTGCAGAGGCAATAACAGGAAGAGGAAAATAATTCATTTGGGCCTGCTGTGATGGTCTGAAATGGCCCTGGGGGTGTTTTATTTTTTTTTTTTTTCATTCCTTGTGAGTGTTTAGGAGTTTGACTACATGTATATCCATCACTGGAAAATTAATCATCACTCACCCATTTACTTACTGAAAAACAATCACAGATCATCTATTTTGTGCTAAGCACTGGAGTAGGAGTTGGGTATATAAAGGAGTTCATTCCCCGAGATCAAAGATGAGAGAAAGAGAAGTAATTACCATACAGTATGAGAATGCTGTGATAAAGAGGCCTATAAAGTATAAAGAAGCATAGAAAAGACAATGTAGGTCAGGGAAGGCTTCCCATGGAGGTTACATTTTAGCTGGATCTTGGAGGAGGAGTGGGTGTCCACTACAAATTTTTAACAGATTTTTCAATTTGTAACGTTTCTTCTCCTCCTCCTCCTCCTCCTCCTTCTTCTCCTTCTTCTTCTTCTTAATGAAGTGCTTGAAAAATGCCTTTCCTTATTGCAAAGGGAAGAAAATATAATCTATTTTAGCTGAGTTAAGTTAGGTTGAATTTGAGTAAGTGTCCCTTACTTCACCTTTACAGGGCATTCGTGGAAGAGCCAGATACCTCCCTCCTACCGTGGTAAACAGCTCTTACTGAAAATCCGCTGTGCTGATAACCTCCATTCCACTTCTACTTGTAGCTGTTGAAAACCAACCCTCAGTCAATAGATGTCCTTTATAATTCTCAGTCAAGTTTTACTATATACATCATTGCTGCTGACCTTAGGTCAGCAAATCAATATTTGTTATCATTATTAGTGTGTATGTGTGTATATAACTACTGAAATGAATCTTAAATAACCAAGTCTCTTCCTACAGAAGCACTGGCAAACACATGCAAAGAGGAGAATTTGAATCCAAAAGGAAGGGGTTGTGAGACCTGGAGCAATTTATTTAACCTCTTTAAGACTTTAGTTTATTCATTCAAAGTAATTATAATAAATGCAAGGTTATATCTTGCAAGGGTTGTTGTGATGATTAGAAAGAACATACTAAATAGCTAATAGGGTCTGTCCCATAGTAGGTTGTTGATAAATGACATCTCTTATATTTATGTTCACTTTATGTTAAAGTCTAATAAAAAGGGGGAGGAGGGATAGGGGATTGGTGAGCGTGGTTAGTTTGCTGTATTCTTAACCCTTTTGTACAAAAGCTTGCAATCTATAACACCAGTATTGCTTAGGGGATATATCACCAAGCCCATTCTGGAGAGGAAAATTGGAATTCAACAAGCCTGATTTATTTACCCAAAACCAAATCCCAGTTCAACTGGGATTTTTGACTAGATAAAATATGTATATCTTACTCCGTTGCACAGCCCGTTATATAATCTTCTCTGTGTTTTAGTAATGAATTTGGGATTGTGGTAAAGATTTGGATGTCTAAAAGCAGAAACTCTCAACTTAGAGTCTTCAGGAGAGATTTAGAAGAAAGGATCGGTGGACCCTCCACCCAATTTATATATAAAAAATACACAGGCGTATGAATTTCTGGACAGAGAGGACAAGCTTCCCTGAGACTCTCAAATATATTTTCAAATGGACCCAATGAGAGTGAAAATTATAACAGCTACAAAATTAGGCCCAGTTTTCTCAGCCTGGGCCCTACTAATATTTCAGATTAGATAATTCATTGTCATGGGGGCCATCCTGTTCATCTTAGGGTGTTTAACAACATCACTGGCTTCTACCCACTAATGCCAGTAGGGAAGGTATACACACACACACACACACACACACACACACAACAACAACAACATTGCCATATGTACTCTGGGGACACACTTGCTCTCTGTTGAGAACCACCACAGGAGACGATTACATAATCTGATGGCTTGTTTCTTCTGGTTGATTGGTTGCCTTGTTTTGTTTCAGTAAATAAGATCTGAGGTCTCAAACCAGCTAAGTATATTACTTTAAAAACATTGGGTGGTACTGAAATACTTGAAATATCTAAAGTCACACTAAAACAGCAAAAGCTCATTGTAAAATCCCCGTCTATCATTTTAATAATGGCATAATTATCCCCAGTTTTGACTTGAATGAACCCTTACTATAGAGTGAGCAAGAGAGATGTACTGCATTTTCTCTACCTTCCAACTTACGATTGACTTCCCTTATCAGTCAAGAATAAGTAGAAAATGAGTGTATTTGGTGGCTTTGTTCTCTTTCCTGAGTTTCCAAGATACTTAGTTCAATAATTGAGTCACTCATCTCGAAGAGAGGTAAAAAATGCCCACAGAATTTGTCATTGAGCCAGATGGACTGCCAGGTGGGACGCATAACAAAATATGCCCAGATGTGATTATTCTGAAAGCCTCTCAACATTAGAGAGTCCCTATTCGGTACTAAACAGCCGAGTAACTCACTGTGCTCTGTGGTAAGGGATAGACAGACAGCTGCTAAGATACCTGGACACAATACTTGATCAAGTAGGATTCCAACTGATCTTTAAATCCAGAATCACTTACTGGGATCCTGACCTCTTTCCTTCGTACTCCACTTCTCAGTGCAATTCTCTAAGCCTAGTACTAAGCTTACTTATATAATGCAGAAAAAAAACAACAATGATAGCTCTCATTTACTCTGTGCCAAACACCGTGTCAGACATGTCATCATCACTACAACCCCATGAAATGGCTTTTAGTATCTTCATTTGGTACCTAGATAAACTGAAACTAGGCAAAGAACAAAGGCAGGATTCCAGCTTGGGTGGGTCTGACGTCACAGCCCAGCCATCCGGTGCTAATAATAACAATACATGAACATTTACGGGGATCTACCCACATTGCTTCACGTGTTATCACATTTAATCCTTACAAAATTCATATGCATTGCTATTGTCTTTATTATTCCCATTTTGAAAATGAAGGGAAAAACCAAGATTAAGTAACTTGCACGTGACCACCTAAGCTGTTTTTACTAGAACAGTTAAGATGAAAACTCAGGTGGTCTAACACCTATACAGAATGCAACCAACGAATAGTTGTAAGAGTGAGACAGAATCAGCTCTCCTCATGTTGAACCAACTGGACAGTTCAGCTCTAAAAACAGAGGTCCCCCGTTTTTACTAATAATGTTCTGTTTCTGCACTCTACCAGATTTCAGTATTTGTGTGGTATAGGTTTTTGAGATCTATGACGTTGGGTAGGAAGAATGTTTCTTGTCTTTGGTTGTTTGGCCCTGCGGGTAGATAGCAGACTCAATCTGAATGAAAACAGCCCTGGGAAATTAAATCAGACCAGTTGCTGTGTGTACTGGCTGTTTTCTTGGGTCAGACTGGCTCCTAAATTTCATGAGTACATACATTCCTCTTCGCACCTACCTTTTAATCAATCCAAATATACAACTTGAAGGCCCCATTAGTGTTTTTTCATTGATAGAACTTTTTGTAAATGAGGAGTGAAAGAATTTTACAAAATAGAAGATGAGCAACAGGCCTCTGTTTCCTATGAAACTGTTTCAACACAGCTGGCTTGTTCACTTTTAAGAGCATTCTGAGGCTGCTATGCTGTGAAAGGAATAACCAATTAAGTCGCATATATTTTTAAAAACAGTGAACAGATATGAATGAACGTCAAGTTTTGAGAGATTCTTACTGAGTCTCGAAATTAGATGATACTTGAGAGCTGGGTTTGGAAGTTGCCTTGATGGTTGATTAATTGACCTAAAATATATTGAGCCCCCAGTGTCCTGAGGCAAACAGGAAGACTCTAGTGTTTTAATTCTATTAACAGGCGCTGTGGAATATATTCTTTCAAAATAAAATTTTAAAGCAAATTTACAGCCTTTATTATCATTGATGAAATTATCGTTAGTGTTTCTTTGTGGGTGGGTATCCCTTCAGGAAGTTTGATATCCAAGAGAAGGTCATTTTGTATTAGGTGGTTTGATGTGAGGAATAGAAGCCAGTCTCCAACTAGCTTAAGCCCAGGAGGGCTATTTTGACTTAGAGAAGGGCAAAATGAAACTGGCCTAAAGGTCTACTTCAATCAGGCCCTCAACCCCTGTCAGGACATAACTCTCTCTCTCTCTCTCTCTGTCTGGAATATCTGCTTCATTCACTCCTGATCAGTTTCACCAGTGGGAGCCTCAGCCACTCTGAATTCATATCATTACAGAAAAAGAAAGGGAGCTTCTCTCTCCCAGCTTCAGTTGAAAAAAATCCAAAGATAGGATTCTGGTTGGCCCATCTTATGTCGCATGCCTACCTCCTATCGCTGTTGCCGGAGGGTGAGCTACCATGATTAACTTAGCCTGGAAAAGACACCTATCTTTGTGGCCAAAATGGGTGGGAACTGCTTCTAAAAGAAGGAGGCAATGGGTTCTGGCCAGGCAAAATAATAGTTATTATATCCCCATCTATTTTTGGTGATAAAAGGAAAGTAATTTGGCATATGAGAAACAGATCCCAGATAATATGTATCATGAAAACAAGCAAAAAAGAAAGGAATCAAGAGGAACAAGAGATGATATTGTGCTCAAATGCAGTCAAGAGAATTTTATAAACACGTCAAGATGAAAATCCAACATTTCAACAGCAGACACAGAAATGAGCCATTAGGCAACTTGATTCTGTCGCCTACAAAAACACCCTCCATAACTGATAGGACATGCTACAATAGAATTAAGTACAGAAAGAATGGTTCTCTGAGGGACTGGTTTGTGGTAGAATACCAAGTGATGAGGTGGGACCACAAGAATAAGAAGGTAAATGATGGATATTTGGGTTGTGCTAGCTTTGTTCTCAAATGGTTATTTTTCTTGAGCATTTGAGATCTTCATTAGCCTTTCCAGCTTAGGGAATTTACAGCACTGCAGTTGTTCTTGAAATATTTCAATTCTTTCAGTTTCACTTTTGCTAAGAAAGAGACCTTAGGAGGACCTTTCCCATTCCCAGGAACAGAGACAAAGTTAGTACTGGATTCGTAGAGAGACCCGAGCTTCATGTGACTCCCATGCCTAATCTTAAATAGGTGACACAGACTACAATGAAAAATGAGGGGGTTCCATGCTATGTGTGCTTTTTTAAAAATGATTTTTGAGTTACTGTTAAGTTCTGTGGACATTGCTTCAATAGACCAAGTGTTCTCCTTCTTGCTTGGACACAGCTGTCTATCTATATATCCCATAGCAATAGTGTTAAAAGTGAACCTCCTTCACAGGTTTCCATCACTGTTGGTGTCATAGGAACACTCAGTTATACGGATTTTCTTTTGTTTCTCTCTTCCAGATGATAGACATGATGTACTTTGTCATCATTATGCTAGTGGTACTGATGAGTTTTGGGGTCGCCAGGCAAGCCATTCTCTTTCCCAATGAGGAGCCATCATGGAAACTGGCCAAGAACATCTTCTACATGCCCTACTGGATGATTTATGGGGAAGTGTTTGCGGACCAGATAGACCGTAAGCAAGTTTATGATTCTCATACACCAAAGTCAGGTATTGAACTTCAATTGGGTCACGTCTTTTCTGAGTTCATTTGTTTGTTCTCAATAAATGGCTCAAGATAGAGGACCGATTCCTAGCTTGCTATCTCGGAGAAAGAAAAAAAAAAAATTAACAATTACAGAAGGCGAATACGCAATTTTCACAAAGTAGTCCTCGGGTGTTTCTCCAGGTATGTCCTTTCTGTGACGCATATTGATATCTGACATCCTAAATTTGATCAAAAACTGTATAAAAAGATCTAAATTATATTTGGGGAATCAAAATCCTAGGGCCATGTGGTGAATATTTCAATATTATTAAAATATTATGTCATTACTCCCACCCTTACCCTAGGCCCCAGCCTGTAAAAACTAAATTCTTTGGGTTTGACTTCAGAACAAATAAACAATTCTCTATTTTGCCATCAGAATTCAAGAGGGCAAACATCTGCATGGTGTTTTCCTTGCAATGGAAACTATTCTTCAGCTCCTTTTCCCCCCTGTCTTAAATTATGTACTTTTGAGACTTAAAAGAAGCTAGTATTCATTGCCTGGAAGTATGGAAAATGCCTTAGGTTATAAACTGAGTTGCTTGCTGTAAATGCCAGGGGAAAACAAACAAACAAACAAACAAACAGTATCTATATCCTGAAATGATTCAGTGTGAGGAGTGAGCTCCAGCAGGCCCCGAATGTTTCATCCCTAATAGGTGCCGTTTCTCTGTAATAAACACCCTCTCATACAGAGTTTGGAGGTAGGTGTATTGTAGGAGTGTGTTCCAGCATTTTATTTGGACCAAATGTCAGGGCACACCAGGCATTGGGAAATGATTTGGGAAGAAAGCATCAGGAAGGAAGTACCTTGCAGTATGGAAGAACTGAATCCCTCCAACAACTTTTTCTCATTTTCCCTGAGGAATTTAGCTCTAGAAATAACATCCCTCCAACATTGTCGAATTAACATTTCTGAAACGTTTTTTGCTGACAAGCCAGCCATCCGAGCCCTGGACTGTGACACGGATCGGGGTTACATAACCAGGTAGAGCAGGAGCAAAGCCCCGTCAGCATAGCCCCGCCCCCCTCGGCCAGTCCCAGGTAGGACGGACACCGAGTAAAGAAGGAGCAAGCACCAGAGAGGTGAGCCCTCCAGGCCTGTGAGGAGTAGGTGAACCCTGGCACCAGGACCCATTAGTATGTCGTTTTCCTGCCTGCGATGGATTTTAAACAAATACTTTCTTAAAATGAGTCATCTGAGGCAAGAAGGCTTTTTGGAACACCTAATTGGAACAAATATTCATTTCAGGAGACTTGGCCAACCTCACTGAGGAAGAATTTTAATTCCACCTCCTGGTTGTAAGATCTTTGATTGGCAATGGGCAGCCTTCACAGAGACAGCTTTCCAGGGCCTGGGGAAAACCCTTTCGGTATCCTCCTTTCAAATGGCCCCCAAAGGCAAAACAACTTAAAAGCCCATCTATAATCATTCTCCTCAGAGATGAATTGTCTTATCTCCCCCAAGAAATTGCTTTCCACGTACATTATTTTGCCTTTTTAAGTTTTCCTTTCTTCTGCAAAATGAGATTAAGCCCCCACGGGTATTTTGGACAGTGCAACATTTTGGGAGGGGAGAAGACAGGAAGTGTAGGTGTGTTTTATAAATGGGATTCTGTCTGTCCCTCTACAAGTGGCCATTTATTGATGTTGTACTATGAGCCCAACCTAGTGCAACAGACACCACCATCTGGCTGAATAAGAGGACTTCTTATTGTTATTTTAAAAGAAGGGCTGATTATAGTTTAGAACTGGAACCCCACCTCCACCACCCCCCCCCGAGATGGAAGAGAAGTGTTTTGTGTGAGTGAAGCGTGAAAATAGACATCCCTTATTGTTCATTAGATCTGTGGTGCTCTACGTGTGTGAGAATAAATTTCTGCCCCAAATCTCAATACAGAACTGACCCAGCCTTGGATGGATGCAAGCAAGCTTCATGATACCTTTCCTCCAGTTACCTTCCTTCTTGACATTCCAAAATTGGCTGCAATGGTAGCCACTGTTCTAAGCTAAATCAGCCAGTTTGCTGTTTGGAGTGCTAAAGAGCATTTATTTGTCCTTTCTCAAATGGAGAATAGGAGGCTGCCCCCAAATCTGTCATTATATTTGGCCAAGGCCATTGAACACCCATCGCTGTCTTGGAAATAATTTGATTTTCATGTTATGGCACTGGACAAGCCCAAGGGCCATTGGGTGACTGCCCCACCCAGCCATGCAGAATTGCCCCGGGAGACCCAAGAACCGAGCTATTTGAGAAAGGTACAGATCGTTTACGCTGCCCTACGGTGTCTTGCCTCTTTTCTGTGCCGTGTCCAGGCTGGTTTGTGAAGCATGTGTTCAGGCCGACAGGATCTCGTATCCGCCTGGACCCGCGACCCTGCGCAGGGTCTGCCAGTCCCATCCTGTGGATGTGGCCCTGTGGGGGCCTCGCCAATGCTGCTCATTCACACACCCCTCCTCAGAGCGACTCATTTCTAACGTGATGCACGTGCTCCGTATCTAACTCTTTTTGTTTTGAACCGCAAACTTGCTGAAGCCATTTCATGTTTGGGGAAATAATCTGCTGGGGATGGACTGTATGTGGATGTGTAATGGGGCCCAAGGGGTGGGTTATTGACATCTGTCTTCCGCCTCAGAAGGGAGGACGGCGCTAACGCCCTCACTTCTGGAAGGCAGTGTTACTGGATGGCAGATTTTTTATATACACTCCCATTTTTTTTTTCTTGTCATTTCTCCTAAACCCAGAGACTTTCAATAAGGCCAAAAAAGCTGGAATGAGACTTCTAAGGTTACTTTCCAAATGTGCTTAAAGACAGAAAGCAAAAGAAGAAAGAAAGAATGGAGTCACTGTAAAATCACCAAATAATTTAGGGGGCTTTCACCTCTAAACCAGATTAGATTAACACAAATTATAGTCTGGTGTGAATCTCAGTGATCTGTGAGGCTGAAACATGCTTTGTGCCGGGAGCTGTTGTGCGTGCAAAATCGTGCTTGGTAGCAGCGGGTAATAAAACTGGGAACTGGCAGTCATGGTCTGCTCTGCCGGGTGTTTTGCCTAGCAGCCTCATGAACTGAGGAGAAATGACCTTGCTGTTGTCGTTGGGTTGATGTTTAAGTTATATATAACAGCAGCTCTCTACGACCCAATCTATGGGCTACCGTTCAGTGACTCGGGCCCCAGCTTGCTAAATGTATTGCTACCAAATGATGACATCCTTTTAAGTGTCTCATTAAGGTGACCCATGTTGCACGGCATCTGAGAGCTGGTCAGGATCCCACTGGAGCCTGAGGGGGAAAAAGCCACTTAGAGAGAAGGAGCAACAGAATAAATTTCCAGCACATTCATGTCAAGGCTAGGGCAAAGCTAAAATTAGAGGGCCTCTTGGCCGTTGAGAAATGTGGTTCCATGGTGGGTGAGGTACCTAGAAATACACCTTTGTTGGCCAAGAAGATGGGGTGTCTCCAGCTTCCTTAAGCCTCTGAATGAGTGAGACTTCCCTTTATTCACAGGGTATCCTTGTGTTGCCTGCCATACACACAGATTTCCCAGGCTGTACCGGGACAGGGGAGAAATGAATCATGCTCTTGAATGCATGAAATTAGGGTCTAAATTTAGTCCTTCTTTCTGCTGCTCTGAGTATTTTTACAAGTTTGGGTACTAACGTGAAAGCAGAATGTCCAAAACTTACTTCCTACCATAACCACTTAATATTATTTGGCTGTTCCCCTTGGCCCAAATTGACTATCCAATCTACTTAACGCATGGGTCAATTTTTTTTTTTCTCTTACTGCCTAGGGCTTTCCATCTAACATTAATAGGTAATCTGGAGCAAGAGGGCTTATTTGTGTTGCGGTTTGGTTTGGTGTTGCTCCATTTTATTTATTTATTTATTTATTTATTTACTTCAAATGTTTTGCTGTTTAAAAGGCAAACAAACAAAAACCTTGCTCTTCTGGTGTCTCTGTGATGTTGACTGGGTTTGAAGCGCTGTTTCTGTGAGGAAACAGAGAGCCTGCATGTACATGTGAAGCTAAAACATTGCCTTGTATTACTTTTCTGTCTCAAATTATTCGCTCCTCGTTTCATGTGTGGAAGTTAAGATAGCTCAAGGCCAGTCTCTAAAATATGCCTGCTTATGGCGAAGCTTAGAACAGCATGGACAGAGAAGATGGCCATCATTACGCCTTTCCATCCGTAGACTCCCATTCTGGAAACTCAGGGCTCTGCAGCCGTTTGGTATTCAGGGCTGACCTTCTCTAATGGATTCAGAGCACACTAATGCCTAACAGCTATAGCGTGGGGAGTGTTGCCCAACCCAAGATAGTATTTTGGAAAAGAAAAACTTGAGCTAGTGCCAACTTTGGGGAAAGGGGGAATTGTTAGGCTGGGTTTTGTTTTTTTGCAGATTGCTAAGGACAGAAGCCAGCGGAAGGCACCACCCCCCTTTTTCTGTCCCTGAAAGTCAGCTTATATTCTAAAGGATACCCACCCAACTTGTTTGCTAATGCAAACTGAGACTTGGTGAGTTTACAAACAGCAGAGCTCTCGGCAGACAAGCCTTTGTGATGATTCAGGATGCTGCAGTGATCAGCGTTTGTTTCACTCTCACAATATTCCTTCAGCCTTAGCTCACAGGTTGGGCTCCATTTTTAATCCATTCATTCTTCATTCAGGGGAGGTTTGTTTTGATCCTACCAAGAGCTCAGACACTGAGGTAAAGAGAGGCACATGACAAAGATACTGTGTTTGGTTTTTTTTTTTTAAGATTTTATTTATTTATTTTTCAGAGAGAGAGAGAGCACACAAGCAGGCAGAGGCAGAGAGAGAAGCAGGCTCCCTGCTGAGCAAGGAGCCATCATGATGCAGGACTCGATCCCAGGACCCTGGGATCATGACCTGAGCCAAAGGCAGCGGCTTAACCAACTGAGCCACCCAGGCGTCCCAGAGAGATATTGTCTTTAA